TCGTGGCGAATGAACTCTGGAGGAGGCCAGAAAGAAAAATTTTCCGACAAAATTTCTTTGATTTATTTTAATCAAATAGAAGCATTTCATGTTAGTGTAAGGGGGCGGGGCGGAAAAACTCATATTTTGCCTTCGCTAAAAAGATATTAAAAATGCACTTTTTATCTTGTCTCTATTTCTTCATATACATACTGTGAACGTTCCTGGCACTTCGCAGCCCTACAGATCTGTAGATTAAGGCAAGGGTGTGTTACTACCTGAGGCCATGGTTGCCGCCGAACCGGAAATTGCATTCTTTTGAGCAAATTTTAATAATAAAATCCTATTTTATAATGAATATTCACTGGTCGAAAGCAATTGTATTAATCAACTTCCTTGTTCTCTTTTCGAATGTTTTACCTTATGCAACATAAATGCAAACATTTTCAAGTCTGGGACAAAATTTTCAAATCTGGTGATAGGCACAAAATTGGCACTCGCTTTTCCGGTCTGCAATATCATACAAAGATATAATTTATGACCAATATTGACCAATTTCCATAGCCAAATTTGGCCATTGAAGATTCGGGTTTTAACTGACAAAATCCGAGCAGAACATGCACCCGGGGGAGTCCCTCAAACTTTTTACATATGGGGAGGTCCATCCGCAGTTGTCAAAATTATCAAAATACAAAATCTTGTTGTTGAGCACATAAGAGACCATTAGTCGAAGTAATTTAGACGTTATCCTATAATAATCAGTTTAAACACATCTGTTCTTTTATTCATGTTTTTGATATTGTTTTGTGTTAGATGAGCCAAGATAAAATAAGGTTTAACCCATAAGTATAAAAAAGGTATGCCGTTAAATCAGGTACACAAAAGTATCAGATCACAAGGACAATTTGTACCCATAATTATCAGATGAACCCTCCATTTACAAAAATTTCAACCCAGAGAACATGAAAGCATACTCACAGTGAATGCAATTTTAATGTTGGAAAATGAAAAATCTGCTGAAAAATGTGAATAAAGCTAGATTGCTGTATGAGAAGAACTTTCCCGGAGTTTTGACAGCTTTGCAAATATTTCCAAATGTCAAGAACACAAACATAATGGAGCGGGATACCAACCTCGGTTGCTTTCACTTGTCCAATGTTTTCTCACGTCCTCACTGAATCCACGAGCGGCTGCTTTCTGAATTTGTGAGGCTCCCACAACCTTTTAACTACTGTAGCAAACAATATTTGACTGTATCCACAGGCACGTTTTGTTGTGGTGGTTTGACGTAGGCGGAAGAACACTGATCGCCAACGCAAGCAAATGAAACAATAGCAAGAAGATACAGTTATGACAAAGATGGAGAGTATTTCCTTCAGGAAGTGCTTTGTTCCAGCTATTTCCTTCAGGAAGTTTTGTTCCAGCTCAAAAGAATTCTGTTTTGTGCGGATACTTTTGCAAATGTTTATAGACTTTGCACATTGCAAAAGTTCGAAAACATCATCCAAACCAGATCGAAGGCGTAAGTCTTGTGGGAGGAGCAATGTTGATTCTTGAATGAATTTATGTAAGGGCTGGGAAATCAAGACGTTTTAACACGTTGTGTTTAAAGGCTCTTGCGCAAAAGGGATGCTTAGCGGCAGCTGTCTTGAGAACTTGATTGTCTTTTTTTACGTAGTACGGTATTATGTGGTGAAATCTGGAATGTATGAGGTGCATTTCATGAATCCGGCAAATGCAAATTACCGAATTTTGCATTCACGCAATATGCAATTTGGCAAATTTCAGATACCCTTTCGTAATTCGTTGATGTGTTATACTTCAATTTGTGATTTCCAAATGTTTATTTTCGCTGTAAAACATCATTTTGTCATTGTTATTCATGATTCAGAAAATTTGCTGATTTTCATTCCAATATGCAAATGAGTTGAGCCTGTTGGGTAGTTGGCTGAGCATCCTTGTAAGGATACACGGAAGGTCCTGCGTCCTTAGTTTCCAACACTTACGACAATTGTAAATATTAAGTCCAGCTATAATGACTAAAAGATTGCCAGAAGACGATGATAATAAAACAAACAGTTACATTTTAGACTGTGATGATTTGTGAATGAATAAATGAAATACAGCGTTTCGTTGTGATAATGCGTTCGTTCGCGATGATTTCAGGCGACAACTCTCTTTAACAACTTTAAAGATAACACCTTATACAGAAAAAATAAGAAGGCCCTTACGTAGGCGCTTGTACATAGGGTGACCAACTAAACAAATTCAACAGAGCCATTCAACTCAGTTAGAGAATCTCTCTAACAATTTCGTACCCCCTCAGCGTACTTGGTACTTGCCAGGTGAATGTGACACGGCGCTGCGCTCAAACATAGAATGAGATAAGGTGGTGCCCGCCCTTCTCCCCTGCTAAATGGAAAAGGATGACAAGAATAGGTTATCGAAACGAAATCAGGAATGTATGAAGTGCTTTTCGTGAATCCGGCAAATGCGAATCCCCGCAAAGTTATCCCTCGAAGTACTACAAGAAAGTCATGAATTCACACTAGACGCGTTTTTTGACGATGCCCATATAGCTTCGCATTTTTTGACGCGATGAGTGCGCAGCACCTTTTTTCAGCGATGAGTCATTTTGCGCCAAAGTTGGACAAATCCAACTTTGACGCTTCAGAATAAGAGTTGACTTGCGCAAAAATGGTCGCAAAATATATCAACAAGGATCGTTTTATCGCAGCGCGAAACATCTGTTTTTTGCGATGCAAAGAAGAAAGAATTTAAAGACGAGTCTATTAGTGAGACGCGACGCAATCGTGACAGGTCTAGTGTGAATTCAAATTGTTTCATGATCTATTCAGTCTTACTCCGTGTACGTTGTGCCACCCGGTCTAAAGTAGGAAATTTTCATTTCCTTGTTTTACTGATGACCTTTTAGGTGGAGATGCGGATGACAAGTTAGGTGAGAGGAAAAATGACGTATTTGTTTGGTTTTTCCTTATCTCTTGCTAATAACCAACACCTAACCTTCCTTTAAGCAATGTTCCTTTAAGAATAATTCATGACCTCATGTAATAGTTATTCTATGCGAATTCTAGAAAATCTTAAATCCAAAAATTTTCATCATGACCAAATTTCGTCCCATTTCGAATTTTGTCGATAAAAATTTCGTCACAATATTTGTCCGAAATTTTTTGTATACGCACATTTAAGCAGTAGCTGTCAAAGTAGAAATGTTTTGTTCCTAACACTTTGATGGTTTTGTCAGTACCGAGCACCCTCTGTCAGTGAATCATAAACGGTCAAAGCTTCAAGTTTTCAAGGAATCGTTGGATCTGATTGAGGCGGAGTTCTGCAGAAAGTCTTGGTCAGTCGAAACAGCTTTATAGAAGACCATGTAAGCTCCTTCTCCTCGTTTCGTCTCGAGAGACTCACAACTCTACATAAATATGCAGCGAAAAGTTTCCTATTCTGAAAAATGTTTGAGGAGCTTGGTGTTTTTTTCTCCAAGCAGTGTGGTAAGTGTTTTCGGTAACTGGGCCAATGATTTGATGAGATCACGTATGTTATGCGACAAATTATGTTTAGGTAACTTGGCACCTTTATTGTGTTTAGAAATCATAACTAAAAACACAAGTGCACGATCATATTTCGTTCTTAACAAGAAACAACAGAAAACAAAAACAGAATATGATCATGTATTTGTGTTTTTAATTTTGATTTCTAAGCACAACAAAAGTACCGAGTTACCTAAATATAAAGTGTTGAAAGTCTTCTCTCGATTGCTTAGAGATGTGACGTGACCAGAAAGCGAGCTCGGGAAGATAGATTTAGCGATAAGAATTTTGACCACAGCATGGAGAAACCCCAGCCCTATACAAAACTTCATTTTAAACTTCGCCTGCGTTGGGCATGGGGTGTTTGCCACCCAAACTCCACTGACCTGGCTACGGGCTTGAACATTGTATGGGGGGGGGGGACATTGAATAACAAAGATGAAGAGTTTGTTCCAACACTTTTGGCGGACATTGTTGTAGACAGTTGACGAGTCCAAGCAGGGGTGGGTTTAGGCAACAATAATTGGGGTGTGTGTTTATTGGATTTTGGTGCCACATCCTTCAGGAATCGCCCACATTCAAAATTCGGTTTTTAACTTGAGGTATAAAAGATAGGAAGATAATTAAAGTAAAACAATGGCATTTTTTGTTACTTCTGACAAAACAAATGTTCTTTACCGAATGGAAGCCAAATTTATCAAAGGACTCAGAAATATTGGGGGGTGTCGCACCCCTGCACATCACCACCTCCCACTCCCCACAAAATTCGTTCCTGAGTCCAAGGGAAAACGAACTCCTTCTGTCTATATGAAAACAGATTCTAATTGGCTGGCCTAAATGAAAAGATGGCGGTGTTTGCTCAGCTGATTGAAATTGCGGTCATTACGATATTCTCGTGAACAAGTATGAGCGAGCACAAGTTAGTTTTAGAAATGAAAATGAGTAGAAACCTTTTTCGTATTAGATATTCAACAGCTACTTGCAAGATTAATTCTAGGGGGTCCTTAAGTTGATCTGTTTGTACTTTATCATCCTAAGTTGAGAAGAAACGGCCATTTTGAGGTGAATACCACCAGCAATATAAAGTTTCAATTAACTCTTAAAATGCACACTTTGCTCTTTAGTGGAGTGGTCTTAACATTTTCTAAAATACACCTCAATCTATCAAAGAGCACAGCAAATACTGCTAAAAACGTTGCCATGACAGCGATGCTCATACTGGAAAACATTTATCTAGCTGGGATAGCAATTTTACTCGTATAAGTAGACTTTTGTGGACATATCAACATCTGGCTGCATTATTCTTGTACATATTCAAGAAATATCGCTTCAAAATCTTGCCGAAACAATAGCAGCAGTGTACTGTGCTGTTTACTTAGAAATGGATAATGATAAATAAAAGTCGCTATTGTTTGTCACCAGAACGTTTAATTAGATTTTTGAGTATTTGTTTACTTTCATGGTGTTTATTTTTACTTTTGTATGTAAGTATAAAAGGCTGTAAGCTCTACAGTCGAGATTAGTTTTGGATCCAGCATTAGAAGTGCTGATCTTTAAGAGGCAAGAGCGAGCTGAACGTCAATCAAAGCTATTCCAGAAGCATTGTGCAAAGAAAGACAGCCTTGAGGTAAATTTACAGAGTAGGCGTATACAGGTCTTGCAAAAGGATAATATGTGATAATAATCAAGTTTTTTATATAAAATCACAAGATACCTTTTGTGTAATGCTCTAGCTTGTATACAAGAAAATTATTTTTAAGTCTTCTTACCAGCCAGTTTTTTTTCATTTTGCTAGCCATGCCTAATCCATGAAAGAGATATTTCAAAATGATCACTGGTTATTCGATACTAACATCATTGAATGAATATATAAAATATATCAACAAGCAAGGCAGAATATGTTGTTTTTTCTTTACATTTAAAACTAAATCCTGGAACCTGCAACTTCAATTCTATTAAACTTAAACCCTTGTCATGTTATTTTTTTGGTGCCTTAAATTACTTTGTTGCTCATTGAATTAGTTTCTATATATTTAAATAAATTAAATTAAAAAAATGTACGAAAGTATGGTAAAGGAAAGTATGGTTGAGATGAATTCTACAGACCCATTTGATAGAGCTAAATACTTGATACCTTTGATTGAAGATTCTGTCAAATTTCAACGAAGAAATCTAAATAGAATTTGTATAACTAAGAACATCTGAGACATAGGCAGCTTTGCATTTTACCCCACCCTTGACATTACTGCGTTGTCTTAGAATTTCATTTGCAATTTACAGATGTTACAAGTCAACGTGTTTCTGCTGTTTTTCCTTGGCTCTTCATTGTGCTACGACTGGGCAGACACAGCCAAACGTGCAGTTGATGAGCAAGCAAAAGAAAATGAAAACATTCGACAGGAGCTCGTCAGGCTCGGAAGACAGATGATGCTTCAGCAGTTTTTTACGGAGGAGCGTGTAAGGTCTGAAGGAGGTTCAGGTAATTGATGGCAACTAAGTATAAACACTCTAAGTTTAAAAGCAACTGTTTTAAAATGATCTAAAAAGTTTTTTTTAAAAAGATAATGAACTTTTCTATTAATTATTGACTTAAGTGACAGATACATTTGTGCATTTCTGAGAAAGAGAACATTTTCGACAACATATTTGTTGTTAATTTGCAGCAAATAAGAAAGAGCAACACAGATGATGCTGCCCCACAAGGATCGTCAGTGTGTACTCTTTTAATCGTTACGATCAGTAAAATCCAAGACATGGACACAATGTTAGTTATTTTATTATAAAAGCCTTAAGCTACTTATTTGGCTTATCCTATAAAACTCTATATTTCGCTTTTAATAGGTTTGAAACAAATCAGAATCCACAATGTTGGTTTGAAAAACTACTTCTCAGCGACCCACTCTGGAAATTCGATGGCAGCGGTGCATGACCATGCAAATAACATTAGAACTGTAGGAATGGGTGAATTCGTGGCTGTTCTCAATGGAGTCGAATTCAGGACACGTCGAATTCAGGACACGTCATAACGACTATCGTTTGTACATGGCATCCAATGGTAAGAGCTATTTGCATTATTCCTCAGCCCATTACCATAGATTGTCAAAACTGTTTAAGGAGTTCAAGGACTAACGCAGTTTTATTAACGCAGAGGTAATAATATTACTGACTTACTAAGCTAATACAGCAATGCTCTTTTATATGTTTATTGTAATGTTCTAGAAGTTCTAGAAAGTATCATTTCAGAAGGTTCGAGAAAACGGAAATAATCAATTTTCAAAAAAATAGAATTGAACTATTACTACGGGTACACTAGAATGATAAGAAAGAATAAGCTTGAATGTTCTACAGTATTTTGACAGTCTGGTAAGAGTGTATATTTCCAACAAATACTTAGTTTACTTTGCTGTTACGCTGTTAAGCAAAAAGTGGGAAAATTTTCCAGCACACAGCCTGTGTTTGCTTTCTATAAGACGATGCATTTTGCATATCCACGCCTTGACAATCGGCTCAGCACTGCAGTCGATTGGAAAACATAACAATAGTCTATTGTGTACTTCAGCCAATTGTCAAATGGTCATCTACGTTCATTGAGGCCTAGTGTCTTAAAACATTGCTTGTGTCGTTAAAATTTCAGTCCTTTAAGGGGCCTGGCTATGTAAACAAAGATACCTCTAAGATGTTTCCTTATTTGTCAGATAAAACACGAGCAGGATGCGTGTTTCGTTCGAGTTTACTCTATCTGTTTAATGAAGAGCATTATGTTTGAAGCTGCACTACAATTTCCTTGCAGATAAAAAGTATCATGGAAGTCAGGACATTCCCTTCCCTGATGTTCCTCCAGAAGTCCTGCAGCATTCAAAGATCGAAGACCAGACCAAGGAAATGAGAGAATGGTTCAAAGCGTGGAGAGACCAAGATCATTCGACAAGAGATTATCGTAAATACTTCAAGCCAGTTCTTTGCTACTTGGAAGGAGCATGGACAAGGCCAGGAAATTCCATTGATGAGCCATTCCACAGTGACAGACATTTCGTTGATGCAAAAAATTGGTTTGATCTCCAAGAGAAATTCAGGTATAAAAACAATCAGTTAGATAGTGGGTTAACAGGAAAATCAACTTCTTTGATGCTTTCACGACTTCTTTCGTTAGCATTACCATTAATGTCTATGCAATGCAGTCAGGCACTGCAAAGAGAAACATTATTCAAGGTTTTTAAGATCATGGCCTAGAAAGATGTTTTTAGTAGAAGCAAAATGGTCCTACATATAAGCTCGAAGCGTGTTTTTATCAGAAAGTAAAAGGGTTTGGCATTTTAAAGAGATGAAAGAAGAAAGACTTCTAAGATGATGTATTTTGTTTGTGCCTACAATACGACTGGAGTTTCGATTTTACCTCCAAACAGTGAAATTTAAACAGTATCGCTGCTAAGGCAGATAGTAAAATGAACTTGGAAAATTTAGGACAAATGCTATAAGAGTTGCAAGGTGCTGAAAAACCAACTCTTCTAAAGCACAAATGCAAGCACACCTTCTTGTCTTTTTGCCAGGAGTTCAAGTCACGACTTGAAATTTTTTCATGAAGTTTCATTCAAATAGCGTTATATGCTTTAACGATTGCATTCAGTGTCCTTATTTGAAAAGCCTCGTTTCGAATTGTTATAATATGTACATCTATCTAGATGATTAGAGTGGAGCTGTTTTAAAAAAATCCGTTCCTTCCTACCTGCAGGTTCACCTCCTACACTGGCTCTAAAAGCATCCTTGAAAACCTTCCATTTCTCCCAACGACCATAATGCGATATGTAAATGAAACTATCCCCGTTTTGGCACAGTGGAACTACAGAATCAACTGTCACCCATTGAAGAAAGAGGTACCTTTGAGCAAATTCAAGCTAGTTGACGATGTCGCAAACAGAATGCGCTACAAGAGGTCCCACCATCAATATCTGCATTCAAGAGCAGCAAGATTCTCTCTAGACGACAGCGGCCAGGATCGTCCAACAACAAGGAGTTTTCTTGACGATCTTATGGAAGAAATTCCTGGAAAAGACAACTATGCAGCAGATTTGAAGGATATTGGCTTCAATGCTGAGGGGGCCACGCTCGACCCTGTCACTGGCAAGGTGAAAAACGTCGGATTCTACCACAGGTTAGCTCTCTAACAAAATTCTCTATCAGGTCTGCATCATTGGCTAAAAAATTTTAAAATTTAGCTCCGCAGTTTAGGATTTGGCGTTCTGTCACCTATATCTTACTGACGTTCTGATTGATAAAGGTATCAGCTAGTTCTGAAATATAAAAAATGCCAATTCATACAATAAATAACACGTTATTTGATTGGCTAACTTTATGGATTGGCTCGTTGTTAGTCATTTTTATACCAGTGAGATTAAGACTTTCGACTATTGCTGTCAGGAAGCAGCAAGTTTTTGATCGGCCAAAACGAAACATTCTGTTGAGAAATGTCATGAATTTATTCATGAATTTAGGCACAGGTCAAGCTTATATCCTCCATGTCTTTTATACTTCAGATTGTACAAAGTTGCTAGGCGAGATGCTATGGGACTCTCCCTGGTCCATCGGGGTTTCTCTGACGAAAACATGTTTTGTGCCATGTCGTCCCAAAAAGAGGTTGCAGGGTTGGAGGTGCCCAACCCTAAAAAATGTCGCTGGGTTATTCCTCCAGGTGGGGCATGGAGAGATCGCAAGCGGGTGTGTGATATGATTCACCAAAAATGGACATGGGCCATTCCACTGGAGGTGATCTACCTGACACCTCTGCAAAAATGGAACCCCCATAACATTGAGTACAAAGGAGATGCAAACAGTGCACCAGGAAAGACGGTTACTGCTGACAAAAGGTATGGCCAATGTGGAAAAGACCTGAATGACACATCAACTGCTCATAATGGAACAAACAGCCGTGCCTACTACCTCACCCCTGGTAGCTTTTTCACTGGCACAGAGCAGAATATAGACGCTGCAGATACGTCTGGTCGTTATGGCAAATGTATTCTTGATAGACAGGTAGAAATCTGCTTGATTCATTCTATGTGGTTCTTTGCTTCCCAATTCATACATGTATTGATTGAATTATTTAACATAAATTATCATATTCGTACTACTTAATCCATATAAGTGAGTAGCAGAGTATAAGGCCGAAGAGGAAGAGCACATGGAATATATCACACTTGAAATAGGCAAGTAACAAATACATTCAAGAGCAATTCATCATAGACTTCATTTTCAATCAAATATTGTAGAAACCTCCAGTGATATATTTGTTTAAAGTTTCATTCTTATTTCGCTTATCATCCTGCTGTTACTATATTTCGCTTATAAACTTTTTGAAAAAGATGTTTGATGTAGCTTTTTCTTTTTAAAGGGCAAAAAACACAGGTTGATGGCCTCTGGTGTAAGAATTTTCTTACCAAATATTCCCGAAGTCGGAATATTAAGAACAAGATACCCAATTATGCCGGTCCATGGTGAAGGGGGATCAGTTTGGAAGGAGCTGAATGCATTGAAAGAGATCGTTATGAACCCGAAGGCACACGAAAGAATGCTTTGGGACAGTGACGTCAAGACAGCTACGGATTCTGAATGGGAAATGTCACCATCTCGCATTGGTTAGCAGACGCTTTAACCTTAGTCTTAATCTTCACCATCACCAAAATATAAATTTTGTTTCTACAGCACATGGCCTTACCTGGTTTTGGTTATGAAAACTGCTTTTCTGTTTTATAAACAGTGCACGTGATGACCCTTAAAGTAATTTCTTTTAGCAACATCGAATTGAAGGGAATATTGATTCAAATAATAGGTGGGCTGCCGAAAAGGCTTTTTTCAGCGATACGTACCTGCGCATGTAAGCCCTCTGTCCTTGCAAAATTAAGCAATTTTTTCATTTTGCAACTGAATAACCCTTTACAATCAGCCGCTTAGTCCCTTACCCTCCTTGAGTGTAGGCATCCCTGCTCTTACAAAGTTACCCCTCGACAAGAAAACTCTACTTTTTACTCAATAAGAAGAAGTCTGCAGCTTGAAGGTTTTTCTGAGCTAGGGCTAGCAATTGTTTAAAGAATGAGTTTTCATATCGTTTTGAATGGTCAGAGCTGCACCAACTCTGCCAAGTGCTTCAGTTTATACAATTCTCTTCTTTTGTAGGCGCTGAGCATACACACACTGTTTTGTTGACTCCAGATGAAATGTCACAACTTAAAGGTGGCAGAGAGTTGCAGGTAAGTAACAAATAGCTTATTAGATTTTGTTCTTTATAATGCTTCTTCATGAACTGTTCCATTTTTTATTCTTTTTCACGTAGTACCAAGTATGTATATGTTTAGCAAATCGGGAAATATGTTTAGTATTTCCAAAACTTTGCTCTTTGATTTTCTTCGTTAGCATTCAGGTTTTAGTTTAATTTTGAAACTGAAGTTGAATGATGCTGAGAAAATAATGAAGACTAGAACTGTAAGGCCAACAAGCACGAACTGTCTTTGGTGAGTGGCCATATTTGATACATGTCGATCCTCGACTGTGTCCAGACAGATCCCAGGTCGTGTCCAGAGCAAGACCCATTGCTCACAATCAAGTTTAAAAATGTAAGCTTTGATAAGGGGGTTAATTGCCTCCGTTACCTCTCTAAATGATAAGTCGTTTTTGCATCATATATTATTCTTCGGTCTTTCAGGTAACAACAAGTTTAGCCAATGGCCATCAGCATTTCCTTAACATCAGATGGCACTCAACAAAGAAAATAGTGTACTATACCAGGTGCAGTGGCCAGTCTATTTGCCGTGACAGGCACGCAACGGACTTCAGTGCTTTGAATACAGATCCTTCATCTTGATGTTCTTACACTTCTCAAATAAACATTTTCTTTATTTTATTTGTAACAAAAGCACAAAGCACTGGCTTAGCACCAAGAAAGTGTTATTATTGCTTAAGATTTTCCTTGTCATGAACTTTAATTCTATTTGAATGAATGCACTTGCAAATGGAATTTTTCCTGCCAATTTTTCTGAAAACTTGGTGTTGGAACCTGCTCGATTTCTGTTGGGATCTTTTTCGAATAATATAAAAAAGAGAAGCAACTTTAGTTTACGTTTTCTGCTTGGATTTAAAAAAAGTCCTTAGCTATCTTCGTGCCGAAATATAGATCCCAATTATTCGATGACCAATTGGAATTTGCTATAGAACAATATAATTCCATCGTCACAATATTCTATACATAGCCCTCGAATGTTAAAAAAGGCCAACAAAGTGCTAAGTATGGGGGTTGGCTTACCCGTTACATTTTGACATACATGTTTGATTCAAATGTTCTGTTGTCTTTTTTCTGGGATGAAAAATAACTAGGCATTAGAAGTCAGGGCTAGAGCAGAGCAGACCTACCGAGAGAGGTTGAAATGAGTTGAATTCTGAGAAGCTTAAGACAATTTGCTCAAGATGATATTTCCAAAAAATTGAATAGTGTAATAGAAATAGATAGTGAAATCAGGCGCCAGGGACGCCTGTCAAAGCTTTTAGGGTGCAAAGGACCAAAAGGGGCAAAAATACAAAAATAAAGAAAATTCTAAATTTTCACTACCTTTGCAGTGCAGAATCCCTAGGTTTGGGCTTAACTTAACTTCCCTGAGAAAACCTTACTTGTGACAAAAATGGTTTGCTCTTTGCATTGTACAGGTCATATCTGTCATTTGCTATGACGTATTGCACAACACATAACAAGGATTTCATCTAAGGTTGACGATTTCCCCTCCCACCCATCTGTATCAAATACTCGCGATTCCACGTCACACTGTGTCCACGTACACCACGCATTTCAAATATTACACCCCTTCTACTTGTTTGTGAATCATGACACCGTTGCAATATCGCCCATCCGGCAATATCGCCCTAAACTTTGCTGATTCAAAGAGCTAATTGTTACTTGCATGTCTTTTGATAGTTAAATTTTATCCACTTAACAATCGAATCTGCCCGTGATTACACGCACAGTGATCTTAAAAGAGACGGGTTGCGCCTTGCCTTCCAAGGTTTCATGTGTACTGTATTGAAAACTTGATTTGTATTGTATTTTCCACAATAACGCCTCCAAACCACCTCCCAAACCAGACAAAACAGCATATAAAGAGCTGGCATTTGCAATCAGGCATACAGTTGCAGTACAATAGACGTTCTACAGCAGCATGCCATGCAAGGTAAATTTTCCTTATCAGGTTCAGTTTCTCTAATATCTTCAAGAAATTATTGCGAATGAATATCGCTACAACGTAGAGCATGATATTTTACATTGTCAGGTACCTAACCTCGCCTCATCCCTTCCACTGGAGTATTCCAGAGCATGTTATCGCTCGACTTATTAAACTCTGATTCATTTACAAATGGCTTGGCTCTTTTTTGTCGTTATAGTATTATATCAATAAATAATTGGTATTTAATAATTGTATTGTATCGGTGTTAATAATTCATTTGATAATAGCCGTTCAAAATGGCTCCTTAATAACAATTATCTTTACGGTTGATGTTTTTTGCAAATAAGCAAAAGGTTGATGCAAAGAAACTTTAAACGGAGAAACTTTAAAACCTGAGCCTCCATATAAACTTTGTGTGCAAAGCCTTCATTGCCCAGGAATCTTCTTTTGAATTCTTATTAACTTATGCTAATAAACCATTAACAGCATTGGGTAACCTTTCGTAATTTGGGACAGGGCAAATTTAGATCACCCACAATTTGGGAAATTTACTATTTTTAGAAGATAACCTATACTTTTAAAATTGTTATAATTTATGAAATTGTGCTGAAACTTTAGCAAGCGTGGTATCTTTTGACTCAGTTTGTCTGTGCCTTTAAATTCATGTCATTTGCTATAAGGAAATGTGTAATTTGGGACAGCAATCTTAAGAGTAAGATATATTACCAAGAGAGAAATATAGAAAAAAAATTTCCTCATTTTAATTTTTTACTATCTAAATGTATATAAAGAGTTTGATTGGCTTGTCTAATAGCTGAGGTTGAGAGCAGTGGTAGGATAAAAACCCAGAAATTTTCCCAAATTACCCCGGTTTACCCTCGGCTCCAACGCAAGTTGGAAAGTTGGGGAGAAGGGAGTGTTTTGCAGCAATTTAGGGTTCATGACCCCGTGCTCCTTGCTCACTGTGTTCGTGGAACCTGGGTAGGATTCGCAAGGAAAAACATCTTTAAAGCGGTCATGGGTATATCATATTTCTGATAGAAACACAAGCCAAACACATCTCAGCCAACCATCAGCATTGTTTACAAAATACATTTTTGAATTTTTCAGTGTAAATTGGCGATCTTTTGGCTTTTTAAGCATGACACACTTAAAAATGCTAACAGTAATGCAAATATATGAATTTATATTTATTGTCTTTTACTTACAATGCAGCCCCAGCATCGTTCCCTGTGCACATCTGAGTTCTTAATGAAAAAATTCTTTGTTCTATAGTTTCCAGTTACTTTTTAAGGCTGACCTTCTGAGGGTTTGATAAAAACCTTTTTTCCCAACAACATTATTACAAAATTGCAACATTACAGAAACATTACTGCCTGTACAAAATTTTTAAGAAAATATACGCTAAAAATAGTTTATTGAGAAACATTTTGGGACTGGACTGCCGAGCCCTTATTATAGCAAATGCCCTTGCACGTGACTTTTCTGGCTCATTCTGATTAAAATAACGACTTTTTCTTGCTAATGTGCATTGTTTTATATAAGTTATAATACTTTCAACAAAGTTAAATGCATTTCGCTTATCGATTTTTTGTAGATGATTTTGAATGGGGCACTGTTACTGCTTTCTGTAAGCGCCACACTGTGTGCCAATTGGGCAGATACAGCAAGGCGCGCAGTGGAGGAGCAAGCAAAAGAAAATGAAAACATTCGACAGGAGCTCGTCAGGCTCGGAAGACAGATGATGCTACAGCAGTTTTTTACGGAGGAGCGTGTAAGGTCTGAAGGAGGTTCAGGTAAAAACTTATGTAAAGTACACATTAAAACAAAGAATAGTTGATTTGACCTAAATCATCAATTTGGCCTAAGTAATGCAACTCAATTTGGAAAGGAAATTGTTTACGTTAACTGAAGCACGCGATACTTTTTCCCTTGTTTGCTGGTATGTCAATAAAAAATCTCATATTTTTTATTGATTGATACATTGTTTTCGAAATTCAGGGCTTTATCTTTTCATAGTTTCATTATTAATTTCATTTTTCTATAGGTCTGAAGCAAATTAGAAATCATAATGTTGGTTTGAAAAACTACTTCTCGGCGACACATTCGGGGGGTTCAATGGCAGCCATCCATGACCATGCAAATAACATTAGAACGGTAGGAATGGGTGAGTTCGTGGCTGTTCTCAATGGAGTCGAATTCAGGACACGTCATAACGACTATCGTTTGTACATGGCATCCAATGGTAAGAGTTTTGAGTTTTTCCCATTCAGTAATAGACTTGTAAAGTAATGACGTCACGAAGCAGTATTGTAGAATATGTTAAATTGACTATGTTATCAAAAAAGCAGTTAGATAAATCTAAATGTTCAAAAACAGTATCTTTTACAGATTTTCTGAGATATGGTCATTGAAAGACCTGCGCTTTGTGAATGAATTACTGTTACTATGGTCTAGTTCATTAGCTTTAGAACTAAGGCCGAATAACAGAGGTGTGGGTGGGAAAGCGCCTGTGCTAATTTGGCCATATCTTGGACATCCTGTAACACATCTGACTGATTCCACTTACTAAGAAATATTTTATGGTGCTTTTCCAGGCAATGGTGTCAAAATCAAACATTTTAACCATAAGTTAAAAGCAGTTTGTACCAGGTTCAAAAGTCTTGCGTGTACACGAGGACGCGGTTTTTGGATCAATATAGAGCCAGTTTCTGCCTTGAGCGCAGCCGGTTTTAGTACTGATTTATCTATATACAAATAAGTACTGGTTTTCCATCTTATTCTCTCGGAACTTTATTCTGACGTTTTATACTCTGAGGAGTGTCAGACGAAGAAGCTTTCAATATGCTGTAAAATGTTGTGCCGCAGTATGCTTTTTTCAGAGCAATTTTAAAAGAAGTATTTCCTTTCCTGAAACTTTTCTTCCCAAATAAAGACGGGAATTGGGAATACGGGAAGTGGGAATTTCACCGTATTTACCAATTTTTATCATAGACAAATCTTACCATGGGCGGCAGGACATTCCCTTCCCTGATGTTCCTCCAGAAGTCCTGCAGCATTCAAAGATCGATGACCAGGCCAAGGAAATGAGAGAATGGTTCAAAGCGTGGAGAGACCAAGATCATTCGACAAGAGATTACCGTAAATACTTCAAGCCAGTTCTTTGCTACTTGGAAGGAGCATGGACAAGGCCAGGAAATTCCATTGATGAACCATTCCACAGTGACAGACATTTCGTTGATGCAAAAAATTGGTTTGATCTCCAAGAAAAATTCAGGTGAGATAAAAACAGTCAGTGAGATAATGGGTTAACAGGAAAATCAACTATTTTGATGCTTTCACGACTTCTTTCGTTAGCATTACCATGAATCCCTTTGCAATGCTATCAAATAAGTTAAAAAATTTTTAAAAGGTTTTAAAATCATGGCCCAGAAAGGTTTTTTTAGTAAATAGTATCGCTACTTAAGGCAGATATGAAAACAACTTGAACTTGGAAAATTTGGGACTAAGAGTTGCCAAGTGCTAAAATACCAAATCTTCTGAAGCACAAGTGCAAGCACACCTTTCTGCCTTATTGCCAGGAAATGTCAAGATTCAAGTGTTCTTCTTTGAAAAGCCTCATTTTAAATTTAATCTGTAATAACATGTAAACCTTTTTTGACGGTAAGATTAAAGTTGATTTGACAAATGTTGTTCCTTCAAACCTGCAGGTTCACCTCCTACACTGGCTCAAAAAGCATCCTTGAAAACCTTCCATTTCTCCCAACGACCATAATGCGATATGTAAATGAAACTATCCCCGTTTTCGCACAGTGGAACTACAGAATCAACTGTCACCCATTGAAGAAAGAGGTACCTTTGAGCAAATTCAAGCTAGTTGACGATGTCGCAAACAGAATGCGCTACAAGAGGTCCTACCATCAATATCTGCATTCAAGAGCAGCAAGATTCTCTCTAGATGACAGCGGCCAGGATCGTCCAACAACAAGGAGTTTTCTTGACGATCTTATGGAAGAAATTCCTGGAAAAGACAACTATGCAGCAGATTTGAAGGATATTGGCTTCAATGCTGAGGGGGCCACGCTCGACCCTGTCACTGGCAAGGTGAAGAACGTCGGATTCTACCACAGGTCTGCATTTTTCATTATGTTTAGACAGTTTCTGTAGTTAAAAACGGCTATCGTTTATTTTTACTATGATCTGGAGGCCATTGAAATTACGCAGCTACAATAGGGTAGAACTCAGAAATGCCTTTTTGTTCCAACTGATATTATACCTCTATGAGTTTTAAATCACACAATTCACGTATTTTATTTGACCTTCGAGTATTTTACTACGTTTAATAAGCTTCTGTCATGACATCGTCTTTATTGTTAATGGTATTCGGTGTAAAAAGTCTTCAAATGAGATGAAGCAACCAGTTTAGCTTACCAATCCAGCAAAATCAGTTTTTGATTATCTAATGTATATTTTAAACCTATTACGAGTACATATGAAATCGAAGTGTACTTTGGATTTAAGGTCGTACAAAGTTTCAAGGCGAGATGCTATGGGACTCTCCCTGGTCCATCGGGGTTTCTCTGAAGAAAGCATGTTTGCTGCCATGACATCCCAAAAGGAGGTTGCTGGCTTGGAGGTGCCTAACCCTAAAAAATGTCGCTGGGTGGTTCCTCCAGGTGGAAGATGGAGAGATCGCAAACGTGTCTGTGAAATGATTCACCAGAAATGGACATGGGCCATTCCACTGGAGGTGATCTACCTGACACCTCTGCAAAAATGGAACCCTCTGAACATTGAGTACAAAGGAGATGCAAAGAGTGCACTAGGAAAGACGGTTACTGCTGACAGAAGATATGGCCAGTGTAAAAAAGATCCGAATGACACATCAACTGCTCACAATGGAACAAACAGCCGTGCCTACTACCTCACACCTGCCAGCTTTTTCACTGGCACAGAGCAGAATACGGACGCTGCAGATACGTCTGGTCGTTATGGCAAATGTGTTCTGGATAGACAGGTAGAGATCTACTTGATTCGCTCTTTAGAATATTTAGCATAAATTTTCATATTATTATTACTTAATCTATGTAAGTTTGCAACAGAGCACGAGGCCCAAGAGCAAGACATACATGAATTATAATACACATGAATTAGGCCTCCTACGAATACATTCTATAAAAAAACAGTAATGATAGTATTTTTCAGCCCAGTATTGTAAACACTTCCAGCATAATCCTTCATTCTTCCATTCATTTTCGTCATTATGTGATATAGCTGGCTCTTTTCTTTTCATGCTTTTATTCTTTTTCCGTTTATTATCGTGTTGAGTTCTATTCTCTTTTGAAAAAAGATTTTTGATGTTACTTTTTAATTTCAAAGGGAAAAATACACCGGTTGATGGCCTCTGGTGTGAGAATTTTCTTACCAAATATTCCTGGAGTCGGGATATTAAGAACAAGATACCCAATTATGCCGGTCCATGGTGAAGGGGGATCAGTTTGGAAGGAGCTGAATGCATTGAAAGAGATCGTTATGAACCCAATGGCACACGAAAGAATGCTTTGGGACGGTGGAGTCCAAACTACTGCAGATTCTGAATGGGAAATGTCACCATCGACCAAAGGTGATTAATATTTTCTGTGTTGTATTTGCGTCATTATATAAACAGGTCAATGATGCAAACTGATCTGCCTTGTTAGCAAAGACGTAGGAATCATTTTGAAAGAGGGGCACGTGCCTCTCCCGGAAGTTTCGGTTGTTTGACGTCACAGAAAATCTGTCCGTCAGGCTCAGGCTTTGATTTCATCCTGAAAACGAGCCTGTTTTTTGTAAAGCTATTTAATCTTTACTTGATAATTTTGCACAAAATTTTCTTCAGGACAATAAAACTATCATTATTTTAGCGACTGATCTCGAGATTATTCAGGGCACAAATATAAAAGTTTCTCATCAAATGAAAGGTATATATTTATATTTCGCCTTTTCTTGTAGGTTCGGAACACACACACACTGTTTTGCTCACACCAAGTGAAATGTCCCAACTGAAAGGTGGCAGAGAGCTTCAGGTAACCCGTTTACTCCGCTTTTGTCGTAGACACTCAATAATAACATTCTTGTTTGTGTCACATATGAGCTAAATAACAAATGTCAACAGTATTTTTGGGATGCACGCCTTCCCCACTATTAAAAGGCACAACATCTTAATTCTTTTGCATACCATATCTGTTTTCCCTTGCTTTTATGAATATTCTTTCACTTCGTATCGACATTACAAAGAATATGAAGTCCCTAAATTTAAAACTTAAAACAAGGTGTCCTTCAAAAAGGTCCTTTATGTTATTTCACCATTCAAATATATCCAATCATTTTCTTAGGATGCAGACGTTTGGCCAAAAACTGCGTAAAAATTCTCGAGTAGAGATTGACCTCTTTAGATCTACTGTTCTTTAAGAAATTTCCCTTCTTTCCATGATTAAGATATGTCTTTGCCATTTTAGCCATCTGGCATTGCGAAATATAGCTTTGCATCTGGTTTTCACGTTATAGGTTACAACAAGTTTGGCAAATGGACATGTCCATACAGTCAAATTACGATGGAACTCCACCAAGAACTGTATTTTTTACACGCTCTGTAGCGGCAGGAGAACGTGTATAGATGGACACCCAAGAGACTTCGCCCAAACAATCACTGGCACAGACTAAACTTTCAGTTACTGAATCTATTTATTTAGCAAAAGCTTCTTTCAATGTCTTGTAACTTATTTTTGCATTTAATTGTATATTTGCTTTCTATTTTGATATGTTCAGATTGCTGCTCATTTTTAATTTAAAGTTTTCTTTTTGTGTTCAGATCTGTCTTAAAGAAAGCTCATTTTCAAGCCCTTAAAAAATTTCAGAAATCTTACCAAAGTTGTATTTGTAAATCCATGAAAGAGATATTTCAAAATGATCACTGGTTATTCGATACTAACATCATTGAATGAATATATAAAATATATCAACATGCAAGGCAGAATATGTTGTTTTTTCTTTACATTTAAAACTAAATCCTGGAACCTGTAACTTCAATTCTATGAAACTTAAACCCTTGTCATGTTATTTTTTTGGTGCCTTAAATTACTTTGCTGTTCATTGAATTAGTTTCTACATGTTTAAATATATTAAATTAACAAAACGTACGAAAGTATGGTAAAGGAAAGTATGGCTGAGATTAATTCTACAGACCCATTTGATGGAGCTAAATACTTGATACCTTTGATTGAAGATTCTGTCAAATTTCAACGAAGAAATCTAAATAGAATTTGTATAACTAAGAACATCTGAGACATAAGCAGCTTTGTATTTTACCCCACCCTTGACATTACTGCGTTGTCTTAGAATTTCATTTGCAATTTACAGATGTTACAAGTCAACGTGTTTCTGCTGTTTTTCCTTGGCTCTTCATTGTGCTACGACTGGGCAGACACAGCCAAACGTGCAGTTGATGAGCAAGCAAAAGAAAATGAAAACATTCGACAGGAGCTCGTCAGGCTCGGAAGACAGATGATGCTTCAGCAGTTTTTTACGGAGGAGCGTGTAAGATCTGAAGGAGGTTCAGGTAATTGATGGCAACTAAGTATAAAGCGCTCTAAGTTTAAAAGCAACTGTTTTAAAATGATCTAAAAAGTTTTTTTTTAAAAAGATAATGAACTTTCTTATTAATTTTTTACACAAGTGACAGATACATTTGTGCATTTCTGAGAAAGAGAACATTTTCGACAACATATTTGTTGTTAATTTGCAGCAAATAAGAAAGAGCAACACAGATGATTCTGCCCCACAAGGATCGTCAGTGTGTACTCTTTTAATCGTTACGATCAGTAAAATCCAAGACATGGACACAATGTTAGTTATTTTATTATAAAAGCCTTAAGCTACTTATTTGGCTTATCCTATAAAACTCTATATTTCGCTTTTAATAGGTTTGAAACAAATCAGAATCCACAATGTTGGTTTGAAAAACTACTTCTCAGCGACCCACTCTGGAAATTCGATGGCAGCGGTGCATGACCATGCAAATAACATTAGAACTGTAGGAATGGGTGAATTCGTGGCTGTTCTCAATGGAGTCGAATTCAGGACACGTCATAACGACTATCGTTTGTACATGGCATCCAATGGTAAGAGCTATTTGCATTATTCCTCAGCCCATTACCATAGATTGTCAATACTGTTGAAGGAGTTCACAGACTAAGGCAGTTTTATTAACGCAGAGGTAATAATATTACTGACTTACTAAGCTAATACAGCAATGCTCTTTTATATGTTTATTGTAATGTTCTAGAAGTTCTAGAAAGTATCATTTCAGAAGGTTCGAGAAAACGGAAATAATCAATTTTCAAAAAAATAGAATTGAACTATTACTACGGGTACACTAGAATGATAAGAAAGAATAAGCTTGAATGTTCTACAGTATTTTGACAGTCTGGTAAGAGTGTATATTTCCAACAAATACTTAGTTTACTTTGCTGTTACGCTGTTAAGCAAAAAGTGGGAAAATTTTCCAGCACACAGCCTGTGTTTGCTTTCTATAAGACGATGCATTTTGCATATCCACGCCTTGACAATCGGCTCAGCACTGCAGTCGATTGGAAAACATAACAATAGTCTATTGTGTACTTCAGCCAATTGTCAAATGGTCATCTACGTTCATTGAGGCCTAGTGTCTTAAAACATTGCTTGTGTCGTTAAAATTTCAGTCCTTTAAGGGGCCTGGCTATGTAAACAAAGATACCTCTAAGATGTTTCCTTATTTGTCAGATAAAACACGAGCAGGATGCGTGTTTCGTTCGAGTTTACTCTATCTGTTTAATGAAGAGCATTATGTTTGAAGCTGCACTACAATTTCCTTGCAGATAAAAAGTATCATGGAAGTCAGGACATTCCCTTCCCTGATGTTCCTCCAGAAGTCCTGCAGCATTCAAAAATCGAAGACCAGACCAAGGAAATGAGAGAATGGTTCAAAGCGTGGAGAGACCAAGATCATTCGACAAGAGATTATCGTAAATACTTCAAGCCAGTTCTTTGCTACTTGGAAGGAGCATGGACAAGGCCAGGAAATTCCATTGATGAGCCATTCCACAGTGACAGACATTTCGTTGATGCAAAAAATTGGTTTGATCTCCAAGAGAAATTCAGGTATAAAAACAATCAGTTAGATAGTGGGTTAACAGGAAAATCAACTTCTTTGATGCTTTCACGACTTCTTTCGTTAGCATTACCATTAATGTCTATGCAATGCAGTCAGGCACTGCAAAGAGAAACATTATTCAAGGTTTTTAAGATCATGGCCTAGAAAGATGTTTTTAGTAGAAGCAAAATGGTCCTACATATAAGCTCGAAGCGTGTTTTTATCAGAAAGTAAAAGGGTTTGGCATTTTAAAGAGATGAAAGAAGAAAGACTTCTAAGATGATGTATTTTGTTTGTGCCTACAATACGACTGGAGTTTCGATTTTACCTCCAAACAGTGAAATTTAAACAGTATCGCTGCTAAGGCAGATAGTAAAATGAACTTGGAAAATTTAGGACAAATGCTATAAGAGTTGCAAGGTGCTGAAAAACCAACTCTTCTAAAGCACAAATGCAAGCACACCTTCTTGTCTTTTTGCCAGGAGTTCAAGTCACGACTTGAAATTTTTTCATGAAGTTTCATTCAAATAGCGTTATATGCTTTAACGATTGCATTCAGTGTCCTTATTTGAAAAGCCTCGTTTCGAATTGTTATAATATGTACATCTATCTAGATGATTAGAGTGGAGCTGTTTTAAAAAAATCCGTTCCTTCCTACCTGCAGGTTCACCTCCTACACTGGCTCTAAAAGCATCCTTGAAAACCTTCCATTTCTCCCAACGACCATTATGCGATATGTAAATGAAACTATCCCCGTTTTGGCACAGTGGAACTACAGGATCAACTGTCACCCATTGAAGAAAGAGGTACCTTTGAGCAAATTCAAGCTAGTTGACGATGTCGCAAACAGAATGCGCTACAAGAGGTCCCACCATCAATATCTGCATTCAAGAGCAGCAAGATTCTCTCTAGATGACAGCGGCCAGGATCGTCCAACAACAAGGAGCTTTCTTGACGATCTTATGGAAGAAATTCCTGGAAAAGACAACTATGCAGCAGATTTGAAGGATATTGGCTTCAATGCTGAGGGGGCCACGCTCGACCCTGTCACTGGCAAGGTGAAAAACGTCGGATTCTACCACAGGTTAGCTCTCTAACAAAATTCTCTATCAGGTCTGCATCATTGGCTAAAAAATTTTAAAATTTAGCTCCGCAGTTTAGGATTTGGCGTTCTGTCACCTATATCTTACTGACGTTCTGATTGATAAAGGTATCAGCTAGTTCTGAAATATAAAAAATGCCAATTCATACAATAAATAACACGTTATTTGATTGGCTAACTTTATGGATTGGCTCGTTGTTAGTCATTTTTATACCAGTGAGATTAAGACTTTCGACTATTGCTGTCAGGAAGCAGCAAGATTTTGATCGGCCAAAACGAAACATTCTGTTGAGAAATGTCATGAATTTATTCATGAATTTAGGCACAGGTATAGCTTATATCCTCCATGTCTTTTATACTTCAGATTGTACAAAGTTGCTAGGCGAGATGCTATGGGACTCTCCCTGGTCCATCGGGGTTTCTCTGACGAAAACATGTTTTGTGCCATGTCGTCCCAAAAAGAGGTTGCAGGGTTGGAGGTGCCCAACCCTAAAAAATGTCGCTGGGTTATTCCTCCAGGTGGGGCATGGAGAGATCGCAAGCGGGTGTGTGATATGATTCACCAAAAATGGACATGGGCCATTCCACTGGAGGTGATCTACCTGACACCTCTGCAAAAATGGAACCCCCATAACATTGAGTACAAAGGAGATGCAAACAGTGCACCAGGAAAGACGGTTACTGCTGACAAAAGGTATGGCCAATGTGGAAAAGACCTGAATGACACATCAACTGCTCATAATGGAACAAACAGCCGAGCCTACTACCTCACACCTGCTAGCTTTTTCACTGGCACAGAGCAGAATACGGACGCTGCAGATACGTCTGGTCGTTATGGTAAATGTATTCTTGATAGACAGGTAGAAATCTGCTTGATTCATTCTATGTGGTTCTTTGCTTCCCAATTCATACATGTATTGATTGAATTATTTAACATAAATTATCATATTCGTACTACTTAATCTATATAAGTGAGTAGCAGAGTATAAGGCCGAAGAGGAAGAAACACATGGAATATATCACACTTGAAATAGGCAAGTAACAAAAACATTCAAGAGCAATTCATCATAGACTTCATTTTCAATCAAATATTGTAGAAACCTCCAGTAATATATTTGTTTAAAGTTTCATTCTTATTTCGCTTATTATCCTGCTGTTATTATCATTATTTTGCATATAAACTTTTTGAAAAAGATGTTTGATGTAGCTTTTTCATTTTAAAGGGCAAAAAACACAGGTTGATGGCGTCTGGTGTGAGAATTTTCTTACCAAATATTCCCGGAGTCGGAATATTAAGAACAAGATACCCAATTATGCCGGTCCATGGTGAAGGGGGATCAGTTTGGAAGGAGCTGAATGCATTGAAAGAGATCGTTATGAACCCGAAGGCACACGAGAGAATGCTTTGGGACAGTGACGTCAAGACAGCTACGGATTCTGAATGGGAAATGTCACCATCTCGCATTGGTTAGCAGACGCTTTAACCTTAGTCTTAATCTTCACCATCACCAAAATATAAATTTTGTTTCTACAGCACATGGCCTTACCTGGTTTTGGCTATGAGAACTGCTTTTCTGCTTTATAAACAGTGCACGTGATGACCCTTAAAGTAATTTCTTTTAGCAACATCGAATTGAAGGGAATATTGATTCAAATAATAGGTGGGCTGCCGAAAAGGCTTTTTTCAGCGATACGTACCTGCGCATGTAAGCCCTCTGTCCTTGCAAAATTAAGCAATTTTTTCATTTTGCAACTGAATAACCCTTGGCAATCAGGCGCTTAGTCCCTTACCCTCCTTAAGTGTAGGCATCCCTGCTCTTACAAAGTTACCCCTCGACAAGAAAACTCTACTTTTTACTCAATAAGAAGAAGTCTGCAGCTTGAAGGTTTTTCTGAGCTAGGGCTAGCAATTGTTTAAAGAATAAGTTTTCATATCGTTTTGAATGGTCAGAGCTGCACCAACTCTGCCAAGTGCTTCAGTTTATACAATTCTCTTCTTTTGTAGGCGCTGAGCATACACACACTGTTTTGTTGACTCCAGATGAAATGTCACAACTTAAAGGTGGCAGAGAGTTGCAGGTAAGTAACAAATAGCTTATTAGATTTTATTCTTTATAATGCTTCTTCATGAACTGTTCCATTTTTTATTCTTTTTCACGTAGTACCAAGTATGTATATGTTTAGCAAATCGGGAAATATGTTTAGTATTTCCAAAACTTTGCTCTTTGATTTCCTTCGTTAGCATTCAGATTTTAGTTTAATTTTGAAACTGAAGTTGAATGATGCTGAGAAAATAGTGAAGACTAGAACTGTAAGGCCAACAAGCACGAACTGTCTTCGGTGAGTGGAAATATTTGATACATGTCGATCCTCGACTGTGTCCAGACAGATCCCAGGTCGTGTCCAGAGCAAGACCCATTGCTCACAATCAAGTTTAAAAATGTAAGCTTTGATAAGGGGGTTAATTGCCTCCGTTACCTCTTTAAATGATAAGTCGTTTTTGTATCATATATTATTCTTCGGTCTTTCAGGTAACAACAAGTTTAGCCAATGGCCATCAGCATTTCCTTAACATCAGATGGCACTCAACAAAGAAAATAGTGTACTATACCAGGTGCAGTGGCCAGTCTATTTGCCGTGACAGGCACGCAACGGACTTCAGTGCTTTGAATACAGATCCTTCATCTTGATGTTCTTACACTTCTCAAATAAACATTTTCTTTATTTTATTTGTAACAAAAGCACAAAGCACTGGCTTAGCACCAAGAAAGTGTTATTATTGCTTAAGATTTTCCTTGTCATGAACTTTAATTCTATTTGAATGAATGCACTTGCAAATGGAATTTTTCCTGCCAATTTTTCTGAAAACTTGGTGTTGGAACCTGCTCGATTTTTGTTGGGATCTTTTTCGAATAATATAAAAAAGAGAAGCAACTTTAGTTTACGTTTTCTGCTTGGATTTGAAAAAAAGTTCTAGCTATCTTCGTGCCGAAATATAGATCCCAATTATTCGATGACCAATTGGAATTTGCTATAGAACAATATAATTCCATCATCACAATATTCTATACATAGCCCTCGAATGTTAAAAAAGGCCAACAAAGTGCTAAGTATGGGGGTAGGCTTACCCATTACATTTTGACATACATGTTTGGTTCAAATGTTCTGTTGTCTTTTTTCTGGGATGAAAAATAACTAGGCATTAGAAGTCAGGGCTAGTGTAAATTGGTTCCTAAATACGGCAGGTTCCGAGCTAAATGTTCGGCAAAACTTCAGAATGACACAACAAATAAACACAGATATAGTTTTCTCAAACGTATATCGTTGTACGACTTGTAACACTAAGCCTTTCACAAGAGCGAAGTGTACGTGCTCACAATGCTAGCTCTAACTCTTCACTAACTCAGGATTCGTAGAGAACGATATATATATGTTAAACTAGTTCCTTGTACAAATAAAATATGTAAATGTGCTAATCTTAGGTGTCTACATAAGAGGAAAAACAAGCTAGAAAAACAATAGGAAAGTGTCTAGATACGTATGTATAAGCTGAGTCAATCCGTAGTGTAGTTCTTAAAATAATACTATAATAGAGGGTGGGTTTCCTTAGTGAAAGTGTTCCTACTAGTATACGCAATGCAACAAAGAGTGCGATGCAAGTTGACGTAAAAGAGTATGCACAAACAAGTATGACTAACGCTGGGAGAGTGGATGAATGGGGCGAAGGAAATGCGCAAACGAGGCAGGTAAGAGCGAGGCTTAGCGCTTGGAGTAGCGGTATTACACTAGAGCAGAGCAGACCTACCGAGAGAGGTTAAAATAAGTTGAATTCTGAGAAGCTTAAGACAATTTGCTCAAGATGATATTTCCAAAAAATTGAATAGCGTAATAGAAATAGATAGTGAAATCAGGCGCCAGGGACGCCTGTCAAAGCTTTTAGGGTGCAAAGGACCAAAAGGGGCAAAAATACAAAAATAGAGAAAATTCTAAATTTTTACTACCTTTGCAGTGCAGAATCCCTAGGTTTGGGCTTAACTTCCCTGAGAAAACCTTACTTGTGACAAAAATGGTTTGCTCTTTGCATTGTACAGGTCATATCTGTCATTTGCTATGACGTATTGCACAACACATAACAAGGATTTCATCTAAGGTTGACGATTTCCCCTCCCACCCATCTGAATCAAATATTCGCGATTCCACGTCACACTGTGTCCACGTACACCACGCATTTCAAATATTACACCCCTTCTACTTGTTTGTGAATCATGACACCGTTGCAATATCGCCCATCCGGCAATATCGCCCTAAACTTTGCTGATTCAAAGAGCTAATTGTTACTTGCATGTCTTTTGATAGTTAAATTTTATCCACTTAACAATCGAATCTGCCCGTGATTACACGCACAGTGATCTTAAAAGAGACGGTTCGCGCCTTGCCTTCCAACGTTTCATGTGTACTGTATTGAAAACTTGATTTGTATTGTATTTTCCAAAATAACGCCTCCAAACCACCTCCCAAACCAGACAAAACAGCATATAAAGAGCTGGCATTTGCAATCAGGCATACAGTTGCAGTACAATAGACGTTCTACAGCAGCATGCCATGCAAGGTAAATTTTCCTTATCAGGTTCAGTTTCTCTAATATCTTCAAGAAATTATTGCGAATGAATATCGCTACAACGTAGAGCATGATATTTTACATTGTCAGGTACCTAACCTCGCCTCATCCCTTCCACTGGAGTATTCCAGAGCATGTTATCGCTCGACTTATTAAACTTTGATTCATTTACAAATGGCTTGGTTTCTTTTTGTCGTTATAGTATCATATCAATAAATAATTGGTATTTAATAATTGTATTGTATCGGTGTTAATAATTCATTTGATAATAGCCGTTCAAAATGGCTCCTTAATAACAATTATCTTTACGGTTGATGTTTTTTGCAAATAAGCAAAAATTTGATGCAAAGAAACTTTAAACGAAGAAACTTCAAAACCTGAGCCTCCATATAAACTTTGTATGCAAAGCCTTCATTTCCCGGTAATCTTCTTTTGAATTCTTATTAACTTATGCTAATAAACCATTAACAGCATTGGGTAACCTTTCGTAATTTGAGACAGGGCAAATTTGGATGACCCACAATTCGGGAAATTTACTATTTTTAGAAGAAAGCCTATACTTTTGAAATTGTTATAATTTATGAAAATGTGCTGAAACTTTAGCAAACGTGGTATCTTTTGACTCAGTTTGTCTGTGCCTTTAAATTCATGACATTTGCAATAAGGAAATGTGTAATTTGGGACAGCAATCTTAAAAGTAAGATATATTACCAAGAGAGAAATACAGAAAAAAAATTACCTCATTTTAATTTTTACTATCTAAATGTATATGAAGAGTTTGATTGGCCTTTGTAATAGCCGAGGTTGAGAGCAGTGGTAGGATAAAAACCCAGAAATTTTCCCAAATTACCCCGGTTTACCCTCGGCTCCAACGCAAGTTGGAAAGTTGGGGAGAAGGGAGTGTTTTGCAGCAATTTAGGGTTCATGACCCCGTGCTCCTTGCTCACTGTGTTCGTGGAACCTGGGTAGAATTCGCAAGGTAAAATATCTTTTAAAGCGGTCATGGGTATACCATATTTCTGATAGAAACACAAGCCAAACACATCTCAGCGAACGATCAGCGTTGTTTACAAAATAAATTTTTGAATTTTTCAGTGTAAATTGGCGATCTTTTGGCTTGACACACTTAAAAATACTAGCACTAATGCAAATATATGAATTTATATTTATTGTCTTTTACTTACAATGCAGCCCCAGCATCGTTCCCTGTGCACATCTGAGTTCTAAATGAAAAAAATTCTTTGTTAAAAAATCTATAGTTTCCAGTTACTTTTCAAGGCTGACCTTCTCAGGGTTTGATAAAAATCTTTCTTCCCAACAACATTATTACAAAATGGCAACATTATAGAAACATTACCGCCTGTACAAAATTTAAAAAAAATATACTCTAAAAAAGGTTTTTGAGAAACATTTTGGGACTGGACTGCCGAGCCCTAATTATAGCAAATGCCCTTGCACGTGACTTTTCTGGCTCATTCTGATTATAATAACGACTTTTTCTTGCTAATGTGCATTGTTTTATATAAGTTATAATACTTTCAATAAAGTTAAATGCATTTCGCTTATCGATTTTTTGTAGATGATTTTGAATGGGGCACTGTTACTGCTTTCTGTGAGCGCCACACTGTGTGCCAATTGGGCAGATACTGCAAGGCGCGCAGTGGAGGAGCAAGCAAAAGAAAATGAAAACATTCGACAGGAGCTCGTCAGGCTCGGAAGACAGATGATGCTACAGCAGTTTTTTACGGAGGAGCGTGTAAGGTCTGAAGGAGGTTCAGGTAAAAACTTATGTAAAGTACACATTAAAACAAAGAATAGTTGATTTGACCTAAATCATCAATTTGGCCTAAAGTAATGCAACTCAATTTGGAAAAGAAATTGTTTACGTTAACTGAAGCACGCGATACTTTTTCCCTTGTTTGCTGGTATGTCAATAAAAAATCTCATATTTTTTATTGATTGATACATTGTTTTCGAAATTCAGGGCTTTATCTTTTCATAGTTTCATTATTAATTTCATTTTTTTACAGGTCTGAAGCAAATTAGAAATCATAATGTTGGCTTGAAAAACTACTTCTCGGCGACACATTCGGGGGGTTCAATGGCAGCCATCCATGACCATGCAAATAACATTAGAACGGTAGGAATGGGTGAATTCGTGGCTGTTCTCAATGGAGTCGAATTCAGGACACGTCATAACGACTATCGTTTGTACATGGCATCCAACGGTAAGAGTTTTGAGTTTTTGCCATTCAGTAAAAGACTTGTAAAGTAATGACGTCACGAAGCAGTATTGTAGAATATATTAACTTGACTATGTTATCAAAAAAGCAGTTAGATAAATCTAAATGTTCAAAAATAGTATCTTTTACAGATTTTCTGAGATATGGTCATTGAAAGATCTGCGCTTTGTGAATGAATTACTGTTACTATGGTCTAGTTCGTTAGCTGTAGACCGAATAACCGAGGTCTGGGTGGGAAAGCGCCTGTACTCATTTGGCCATATCTTGGACATCCTGTAACACATCTGACTGATTCCACTTACTAAAAAGTATTTTATGATGCTTTTCCAGGCAATTGTGTCAAAATTCAAACATTTTAACCATAAGTTAAAAGCAGTTTGTACCAGGTTCAAAAGTCTTGCGTGTACACGAGGACGCGGTTTTTGGATCAATATAGAGCCAGTTTCTGCCTTGAGCGCAGCCGGTTTTGGTACTGATGGTATATATATACAAGTAAGTACTGGTTTTCCATCTTATTCCCTCGGAACTTTATTCTGACGTTTTATACTCTGAGGAGTGTCAGACGAAGAAGCTTTCAGTATGCTGTAAAATGTTTGCTTTTTTCAGAGCAATTTTAAAAGAAGTATTTCCTTTCCTGAAACTTTTCTTCCCAAATAAAGACGGAAATTGGGAATACGGGAAGTGGGAATTTCACCGTATTTACCAATTTTTATCATAGAGAAATCTTACCATGGGCGGCAGGACATTCCGTTCCCTGAAGTCCCTCCAGAAGTCCTGCAGCATACCGAAATCGATGACCAGGCCAAGGAAATGAGAGAATGGTTCAAAGCGTGGAGAGACCAAGATCATTCGACAAGAGATTATCGTAAATACTTCAAGCCAGTTCTTTGCTACTTGGAAGGAGCATGGACAAGGCCAGGAAATTCCATTGATGAACCATTCCACAGTGACAGACATTTCGTTGATGCAAAAAATTGGTTTGATCTCCAAGAAAAATTCAGGTATAAAAACAATCAGAGTTAACAGGGAAACCAACTATTTTGATGCTTTCACGACTTCTTTTGTTAAAATAACCATGAATTTCTATGCAATACTATCAAGTAAATCAAAGAATTTTTAAAAGGTTTTAAAACCATGGCCTAGAAAGGTGTTTTTAGTAAATAGTATCGCTACTAAGGCAGATGTGAAAACAACTTGAACTTGGAAAATTTGGGACTAAGAGTTGCCAAGTGCTAAAATACCAAATCTTCTGAAGCACAAGTGCAAGCACACCTTCCTGCCTTATTGCCAGGAATTCATGTCAAGATTCAAGTGTTCTTCTTTGAAAGCCTCGTTTCGAATTTAGTTTGCAATAACATGTAAACCTTTTTTGACGGTAAGATTAAAGTTGATTTAACAAATATTATTCCTTCAAACCTGCAGGTTCACCTCCTACACTGGCTCAAAAAGCATCCTTGAAAACCTTCCATTTCTCCCAACGACCATAATGCGATATGTAAATGAAACTATCCCCGTTTTCGCACAGTGGAACTACAGAATCAACTGTCACCCATTGAAGAAAGAGGTACCTTTGAGCAAATTCAAGCTAGTTGACGATGTCGCAAACAGAATGCGCTACAAGAGGTCCTACCATCAATATCTGCATTCAAGAGCAGCAAGATTCTCTCTAGATGACAGCGGCCAGGATCGTCCAACAACAAGGAGTTTTCTTGACGATCTTATGGAAGAAATTCCTGGAAAAGACAACTATGCAGCAGATTTGAAGGATATTGGCTTCAATGCTGAGGGGGCCACGCTCGACCCTGTCACTGGCAAGGTGAAGAACGTCGGATTCTACCACAGGTCTGCATTTTTCATTGTGTTTAGACAGTTTCTGTAGTTATAAACAGGGCTACCGTTTCTTTTCACTATGATCTGGAGGCCATTGAAATTAGGCAGCTACATTAGGGTAGAACTCAGATATGCCTTTTTGTTCCAACTGATATTATACCTCTATGAGTTTTAAATCACACAATTCACGTATTTTATTTGACCTTCGAGTATTTTACTACGTTTAATAAGCTTCTGTCATGACATCGTCTTTATTGTTAATGGTATTCGGTGTAAAAAGTCTTCAAATGAGATGAAGCAACCAGTTTAGCTTACCAATCCAGCAAAATCAGTTTTTGATTATCTAATGTATATTTTAAACCTATTACGAGTACATATGAAATCGAAGTGTACTTTGGATTTAAGGTCGTACAAAGTTTCAAGGCGAGATGCTATGGGACTCTCCCTGGTCCATCGGGGTTTCTCTGAAGAAAGCATGTTTGCTGCCATGACATCCCAAAAGGAGGTTGCAGGGCTGGAGGTGCCTAACCCTAAAAAATGTCGCTGGGTGGTTCCTCCAGGTGGAAGATGGAGAGATCGCAAGCGGGTGTGTGAAATGATTCACCAGAAATGGACATGGGCCATTCCACTGGAGGTGATCTACCTGACACCACTACAAAAATGGAACCCTCTGAACATTGAGTACAAAGGAGATGCAAAGAGTGCACTAGGAAAGACGGTTACTGCTGACAGAAGATATGGCCAGTATAAAAAAGATCCGAATGACACATCAACTGCTCACAATGGAACAAACAGCCGTGCCTACTACCTCACACCTGCCAGCTTTTTCACTGGCACAGAGCAGAATACGGACGCTGCAGACACGTCTGGTCGTTATGGCAAACGTGTTCTGGATAGACAGGTAGAGATCTACTTGATTCGCTCTTTAGAATATTTAGCATAAATTTTCATATTATTATTACTTAATCTATGTAAGTTTGCAACAGAGCACGAGGCCCAAGAGCAAGACATACATGAATTATAATACACATGAATTAGGCCTCCTACGAATACATTCTATAAAAAAACAGTAATGATAGTATTTTTCAGCCCAGTATTGTAAACACTTCCAGCATAATCCTTCATTCTTCCATTCATTTTCGTCATTATGTGATATAGCTGGCTCTTTTCTTTTCATGCTTTTATTCTTTTTCCGTTTATTATCGTGTTGAGTTCTATTCTCTTTTGAAAAAAAAATTTTTAAGGTCACTTTTTAATTTCAAAGGGAAAAATACACCGGTTGATGGCCTCTGGTGTGAGAATTTCCTTACCAAATATTCCTGGAGTCGGAATATTAAGAACAAGATACCCAATTATGCCGGTCCATGGTGAAGGGGGATCAGTTTGGAAGGAGCTGAATGCATTGAAAGAGATCGTTATGAACCCAATGGCACACGAAAGAATGCTTTGGGACGGTGGAGTCCAAACTGCTGCAGATTCTGAATGGGAAATGTCACCATCGACCAAAGGTGATTAATATTTTCTGTGTTGTATTTGCGTCATTATATAAACAGGTCAATGATGCAAACTGACCTGCCTTGTTAGCAAAGACGTAGGAATCATTTTGAAAGAGGGGCACGTGCCTCTCCCGGAAGTTTCGGTTGTTTGACGTCACAGAAAATCTGTCCGTCAGGCTCAGGCTTTGATTTCATCCTGAAAACGAGCCTGTTTTTTGTAAAGCTATTTAATCTTTACTTGATAATTTTGCACAAAATTTTCTTCAGGACAATAAAACTATCATTATTTTAGCGACTGATCTCGAGATTATTCAGGGCACAAATATAAAAGTTTCTCATCAAATGAAAGGTATATATTTATATTTCGCCTTTTCTTGTAGGCTCGGAGCACACACACACTGTTTTGCTCACACCAAGTGAAATGTCCCAACTGAAAGGTGGCAGAGAGCTTCAGGTAACCCTTTTACTCCGCTTTTGTCGTAGACACTCAATAATAACATTCTTGCTTGTTTCACATATGAGCTAAATAACATCACATGTCAACAGTATTTTTGGGATGCACGCCTTCCCCACTATTAAAAGACACAACATCTTAATTCTGTTGCACACCATATCTGTTTCCCCTTGCTTTTATGAATATTCTTTCACTTCGTATCGACATTACAAAGAATATGAAGTCCCTAAATTTAAAACAAGGTGTCCTTCAAAAAGGTCCTTTATGTTATCTCACAATTCAAAGATATCCAATAATTTTCTTAGGATGCAGACATTCGGCCAACAACTGCGTAAAAATTCTCGAGTAGAGATTCCTACTGTTCTTTAAAAAATTCCCTTCTTTCCATGATTAAGATATGTCTTTGCCATTTTAGTCATCTGGCATTGCGAAATATAGCTTTGCATCTGGTTTTCACGTTATAGGTTACAACAAGTTTGGCAAATGGACATGTCCATACAGTCAAGTTACGATGGAACTCCACCAAGAACTGTATTTTCTACACGCTCTGTAGCGGCAGGCGAACGTGTAGAGATGGACACCCAAGAGACTTTGCCGAAACGATCACTGGCACAGACTAAACTTTCAGTTACTGAATCTTTTCTCCTTATTTATTTAGCAAAAGCTTCTTTCAATGTCTATTAACTTATTTTTGCACTTAATTGTATATTTGCTTTCTTTTTTGATATGTTCCGATTGTTGCTCGTTTTTAATTCAAAGTTTTCTTTTTGTGTTCAGATCTGTCTTAAAGAAAGCTCATTTTCAAGCCCTTAAAAAATTTCAGAAATTTTACCAAAGTTGCATTTGTTCTTATTGTTATATCTGATGCAAATTGTAAAGTTTGTAAAGTTCAATTTTCCAGTACCTATGAAATAATTTTTGCGTCCATCAACCAATTAAGATAATAAATCATAGAGGCACCTCCTCTATTCATTAAATTTCAAAAATATTAGATACCTCATTTTATTCCTCTGTCTAGATATCGTAAACTCGACGGTTTTATTGGATAATTTTTTTCTAGTAATCACCTTAAAATGAAATCTGTTTTTCTAATTGAAATCACCCAAGATCATTCGTGAATAAGGCTAATTACACGCTAAAATCAAAATATCATATACCAAAGTATCTTTGTTTCACGAAAAGTTAAAAAAAAACTTTAATCTATTGCTCCCAACATAGACGCTAGAGGACATTTTTGGGTGAGGCGGCTCTAGAGAAATTAGAAAACCATTATGGTAGTTTTTATGTCATTATCCTTGATGCCACAATTTCATATCATAGTTCAGCAAAATAATTATGGGACTACAGCCCCCGCCCCCCGCGCCCGCTCCAGCGTGCCTGTCCAAATGGTACCTTTTTGTACCCTCCATGAATTTCTACATATGGAAAATTCTTTATCTGAAAACTGCAATCCTGTACTGCTAGAATGAGGGAAGTTTTGGCTATCAACTTTCTTTACTGAACTCCAGTGTTCTCACTTTAAGGGAATTTCCTTAAACTAAGGGATTTCTTAACTTTCTAAGGAATTTCAGTTGTTAAGGAAATTTTAAGGAATTGTTAAAATTTTGAGAATTTTTTTTTTACTCTTCCATGATAAAAGAAAATTATACACTTCTAACCAAACAAAAAGCAAGATATGGATATGGGTATGAGTCATAAAATAGGTCTTTAAAACTATTTTTAAATGATACCAAGATACATGCCAAAATCAACTGTAATTTTACGTTAATATTGGTTTGATAGAAAGCTGGGGGGGGGGGGACTAGACTCGAAAAGCTTAAAGCTGCACCATAGCCCTTGCACACATGACACAGCCGTGAGTAAAGAAGAGAACAGGGGAATCTTCAAGAGCTAGTGTTTGTTTCTTGAAAGAGGTGAAACGTCCTCAATGAAGAATACCAGCTAAGAAATTCCTTGTGAGGAACTAAATTAAGTTCAGTTTTAAGATATCGAGCTAAAAGTGGTAACTCAGTTGTTTCTAACAATTAAGATTTTGAAACTAAGATGGAATGCTGAATTGTCGATGAAAAAAGTTTTTAAAAGTGATTTGAGAGAAGTTGAGTCGATGATCAGACCGATGTGCTAGAGAAGATTCGATATGAAGACTATACTATGAATCCGGACCATAAAAAGTTGCCGTGGCAAGCAAAAACCAGAAGTTATATGTATCGATGAATGAAATTGATTTTTGCATTGTGCTTTGCATTGTTCTATTATAATATTTATGTTCATTAGAAAAAGGAAGATTATTATCCAATGCATTTCTTGTGTTTTCCTTAATTTCTTAGAATTTTACCCTAGGTTCCAGACTCACTCTATATAAAATAAGAGTAAACTTACTTTGTATAAAGTGAGTCTGGTAACCAGGCACAGATATCTATTCTATGACCCAGGGTATTAGAATTTAAAACTCTCGGACAAACTTAGATTTAGGACAAATTGAGCTACAGACGAGTCTTAGTCCGAAAGTTTCAGATTTAATGTAGATGAATAACTCAATTTGACATTTATTTCTACAACCAAAGTTGTTTTGACCATATCTTTAACAAAAAGTTATGTTTTCGAAAATATAAGGAATTTTTCTCGAAATCTGAGGAAATTTTCGTGCGAGTTCAAAGAAAATTTACATGAAGCAAGAAGAAAACTATTGAGCTCTCTCGAGTGTGAAGGGCCTGGGTTCTAACTTGCATGCTTGAAGGGCCTAAACAAGACCGCCATTTCGAACAATCTAGAAGCATTTTTAAAGCTGGAAAAATATCAGAATCACTGAAGGTATATATAAAATTAACTCATTTCTAAGGTAGTATGTTCTCTTAAATGCCACAGTATAAATGTTTCTTTCACAACTTCAGCACTTAACACAGAAAAGTCGAATGACTTTGGATTATTTATTGGGCCTAACCACTTTTTTCTGATCTAATTTTATTATTTGTCTCTTGACCGAATGAAAAAATATAAAAAGATGTAATTTTTTAGATAATAAACTATCAATTTAAATCTAGCTCAAAATAACTGGTCAAAGTTTAAAGTTTTTTATGTAAAAATTCTTTGGTTAGGTTTGGTCATATCACGAATTGATGTTTGAGTTTCTACCAGTTTTGAGAAAATATATACCATGACATACACTTTGGTGTATAGAACAGGTAACCTAAAATGGAACTTGGAAACCGTTTTTTCCACAGGGCTGGCTAAACGTATTTGAAAGTGGAGGGGCCATCCATGTTTATCCTACTACTTTAATTAAACCATAGTTAAAAATTAAAAATATTTGATTGCCTACATAGTCTGCAAGTGGGCAAACTGTAACTTCAAAGCCAATGTGACCCATTATTTTGTACAATACACAAATATTAAAAGGAATATATTTTAGAATATTACGACTCAATTATTCTAAAATTTTAGAAGGCATCAGGATTAAAAGTCAGGCCCACAAAGTTCGCCAAAAGTATTATTGTTTGTTTAACAAAAGTTGCTTTCAATAATTACAAATTTTATATGGCTTTTTAGATTTCCAACAGGTCTGATTCCCATAAGTAATTCTACAACTTGATGCAAATTTTAGGCGACATTTCAAAATTCTGCCAAAGATATCTTTTTGTTTTCTTATTCTGTGGTGTTGCTTAGGCTAAATGCTCTAAATGTTTTAGAATATCCAGCCTCAGAATAATAACACCAATAATTTGTTGTCTTTCAAGGTTGTTGTAAGGATACTTGAAGTTTCACAAAAGTACCACTTGTGTCTTGAAAATGTTCTACATAAGAAATTATAGAAAATAATAATCATCTTAGTAAACAGGGTAGGACCAGAAAATGGGTGTGGTCTGAAAGGTGTGTTGGACCCTCCATCTCATTTTGGTAGTAGTCAAATTTTTGGCTGGATCCACAGCAGAGGAACGGTCGCCACCATGGTTGACAGCAGGACAAATTTTAGAGATGTGGTATCTAAGGGATGGCCAGAAACTGTATCTAAAATGGATTTTGACTGAAGGAAAATGCGAGGAAATATTTTCAAGCTTTCTTATCAATGTGTCACATAATTTCGTCTATTGTAAATTCCGGTCTTGCAAATTTTTGGAATAACCTTTTCATGGTAGCTCGTGATCAAGCTTTTTTAGATTTAAAAAGGAGCCAAAATGAAGTGGAGGAGAAAAATAAATGAATCAAGCTTACAAAAAAACAAAACTTTCTGTCAACCAATAGACTTTTGGAGCCAAGTTTAGGCCATAGGAAAAACAAGACTTCATCATTTGGTGCAGGCACCAAGTTATTCTGAATCAGGTTTCTTGATCTATTTCCTAAGCCAAGCTTTTACTTGCTGTACAACTTGGACAATTACCAATTTTTTTGACCAAATCCCCATTTTAATTTACTTTATGTCTTCTTTGGTAAATTCATAGTTACCAAGCTGACAAGCTGAGGCTGAGGTCATATCTAAGAAATTACTAAGCATGGTTACTAACAGAATGGTAGACTAGATTTCTTTCCACTTTTGCCTAAAAAAATTATTTTGCTCTGCAGAAAAGTGGTGAGGCTTTGGCCCCTCCCCATGGCCCCCTGGTTTTGCCAACCCTGTTCTATATACCCCAAAGGGTGCACAGCCGCTTTTATTATGCATCAAACAGTGCAGACCAGTAGACGGTGATTCTCATTGGATTATGCAGCGGATATCTAGACATTATGTGCCAGTTATTAATCATTTATCACATTTTCTAAATGTCTAGTTGTGATTAAAATGCTAAGGATATCTGTTAAAATTTTGATTGTCAAAAATGATGAAATCTAAGCATTTAATTGTTCCTAAAACCATGAGATTGTACCTATATAGTCTCAGCCAAACAGTCCTTTCAATCAAAGATCATAGTAGATGTAAATTTCTGCATCACTTAGAACGCATAATGTAAATTTGCTATATCTGTGTCTTTCTCTCAAAACTAATATTTCATGGTTGAAAATCAAGGCAGAAGTGAATACTATCAAAATATTTTGCTTTGAAAATAATGCATTTCAAAATGTTATTTTTATCCTTCATTAGATCATACACATTCATTTTTTCATCTTCACCTTGATGTTTTTGGGTCATTGCAAGAAATATTAAAGCTGTCTAAGTTGAATATTAATTGTAGAACATGTTATATGAAGCTAAAACAATCCTTTGAAGACTTAACTTTATTTTATTTTTCAGAAAATGGAAAGAAGGCCACCACCAGCTCCTGCCAGGCCTCTTTTACCAAGACCACCATTTCCAAGAGATCTTCCCTTTGATGGAGGGATCCCTCCAAGAGGTCCTGAATTCAGACCAGGTTTCCCACCAGAGTTTGATGGAGCACATCATCCACAGCTGCATGGTGATGGTATGAACCCACCATTTAGAGAACCATTCATACCAAACAGAATGCCAAATTTTCAGGTTAATTCTCTTTGTCTTTTTATAAACTTTTGGATGTTTGGTTTGCAGGAGAGGTTTTCTACCTGCATATGCTCGATTTCAGATATTAAGCTGCCTAAGCTCACCTAATAGTTGATTTTGATCAACAAAATTTTTATGTTGACCACCAGATTCTGTTTGAAACACCTTTGATGAATTTCTTTTTCTGCTGACCTACCTTGAAAAACTCAATTTACCTTTATGTTTTACATTGGTGGATATATATGAACAAATTAAAAACCTTGTTATTTTTCAATGATTTCCCAATTCATATATTTGTTTGATAGGTATTTTTTGTATTCACATTATCAAATTGGAAGCATAGTATGTTTACTTTCATAATATGTTTAAATCAGTTTACTTTCAATACATACAGCGTCCACCCTTTGACCCCATGGTTGTTGGCCAGCCACCTTTCAATCAGCCCCCAGCAGCGATAGCCCCTCCTACACAGAATGTCACCGTTCCAGCACCACCAATAATAGACAAAGATGGAAACATGTGGCTAGAAGCCAGGTCTGCTGAAGGTAAAGTCTACTACTTTAACGCAAGAACAAGGGAGACTAGGTGGGAAAAACCTGAACTGCCACAGAAAGAAGGAGTGATATCTTCATCTGACCAGCAAAATGTTGAGCAAGATAAAAATGAACACAACAAGATGATTGAGGAAGATTCTTCTGCATCTTCAAAGGTATTCTAATGGATTAAGATTTTAACATATTAAAGCAATAATTAGATAAAATTTGATAATGGCGAGATATTTTGGCTTAAGGTTGCAGGTTTTTTTATAACAGGTTATGGCCATCTTTTTTCAGAAGTCTGGCCATCCATAGGAATTTTTGAGTATTTTATCCAGAATCAAGACAATCTGCAGAGAATGGCAAAAAGCAATTATAAAAATGTTAGTTTAATGAGCAACAGTGATCAAAAGTTGAAGAACAAGTCATTAAATGTTATATGATAGCTAATGATGCTGCAGACAGTAGTCCAACTTTAACACAAATCATAAACTGTATTTACTATTGAATATTATGCATTCCTGGTAATATTAGGCATGTGGCCGCACTGACATGCCTCTACACATGCCCAAAAGTCCACAGGCATGCTTTTGATGGCACAAACAGTGCCATGACTGACTATTCTATTTTTTCCTCTTTTCTTGTTTTAACTTCTTGCTAGTTTTCTCTAAGGTTGTTTTTTTTATTCTTTTGTGTGTGTAATCTTGATAGCATTTTTCGGGGAGGGGGTATAAACACTAAGGCCCTGTTTCCATTACACTCATTAACTAACAGATGTCAATAAATCAGGAAGCTGCCATTTCCTATATTCACAACTTTTTTGACACCAATAGCTGTCAAATTTACCCCCAAAACAAAGGATTTGTAATAATGATTCTGTAATTCGAACATGAATCAATCAGAACTTTTCTTTTTTTGCCTTGGCAAGGTTTCCTTTGAATTTAAAAACTACGCCGACATCTGACATCCGATAACAATGCAATTGTTTATAAAGAAGCCCCTAGTGAATTGGAGAATAAAGCAAAAGAAAATTCAGTTTAAAGATGAAACTGTGTTTGCGATAAAAAGTACGCCTTGAGAGTTCTAGCTGTGTGTGGAAGGGTGTGTGTGCGGTCGCACCCCTAATATTACCAGGACTGTACACAGTTTCCCCCTGTCTCTATTTCCAGATCATTTCATTTTCTTATTTTCTGGAACTATTGCCATTTCTCAAAATTGCAATGTAGTTTTGGTCAAACCGCAAACGAAGGTGTTTCCATTCCTCCTTATTTCAGGTTTTATGTGAGCTTTATTATCACTAACAATATTAGCAGTTTAGTTTTAAGTCAAAGGTTGGAGTGTTTAGCAACTTACCTAAATGTTTTTCAAAAACTTCCTTTGATGTCCTAGAAAACCTGAGAACGCATTTTATGAAACTGTGAAACAAAGAATAAATTTCTGCAAATTTTAGGATATGATAGTAATGACAATTTTGCAATTCTCTATCTATTCTAGATTCACCCAGATAGAGAGATAATGATTTCAAATGAAGAAACTAGCAACAAAAGTGCAAATGAGATGGACACAGAAAATGGTAAAAAAGACAATCAACAAGAAAATGAAACAAAAGCTGATGCAATCAAAAGCACACTTCCAGTTCTACCAAACTTTCCTCCACCTATGATGGTACCACCAAACAACAATCCAATTTTCACGCCCCCAGGCTTACACCCACCTGGATTTCCACCCCCACTAGGGTTTGTGTATTTATTTTGTAAATGAATATATTATATATTGTGAATGTTATTGTTTTGATAAAATATGTAAATGATGATATTAAATGCACAATCAACATTAGGAGACAGCTTAGGTTGACAACAATTGTGACGATGATGATTCTATTCTATAACATAAAGTTCATCAGTATGAATGGAAACCCTCTTCTCTCTTCGGCAGCAATTCTGGACCACCAGGCTTTATGCCAAACCAGCCTGTTCCAGGTATGCCGATGCCTCCTGTGCCGTTGCCAAACTTTCCAGGCTTTCCAATGCCCCCTGGAATGAGGCCACAAAAGCCCCCAAGTGACTGGACGGAACACCGACTGCCCGATGGGAAAATCTATTACTACAATTCCAAAACTCTGGAATCAACTTGGGAAAAACCAAAGGAGCTCATACATGACGCAGGTATCATAAATATTCGTTATTTTTGTACCTGATGACGTATTTTTGTTCTTTACTTTCCCTGGTGTATATGAACCAATCATCCCAACACTAAAGTTTTGAGCAAGCTGTTGTTTAAGCAGCAAATGCAGTCTACTTGAAGGTAAGAAAAGAAAATAATCAAATAGATTAAATTCTTTTACTAATGAAGGAGCGAATATTGAAAAAAGATAAAAATTAAGAAAATAATCAGTATCTAGATACAACTATAGGAGGAAAATGGATAGAAGTGTAATATTTCAAGTTTTCTCCTAGACTGACAGAATGAAGGCACCATTTTGTATAATGGAACATTATTACTAAGTTAATGCAAACATAATATGATATCTAGATCGTAGAAGTCTGGGTCAAAGTGAGTTTACTGCAAGAGGCTGATGAAAAATGGCTGCATAACAAGTTTGAACACAAAGAATTAGAGACAGTAGGTGCTAAAATGCGTGCACATCAAGTTAGCTAGTTAGTTTGGTATTTCGAAAAAATGTGGCTCAACTTGGAAGAGCTTTGGAAGTTAGCAACTAACTGCAATAATGAACATAACGCAAACTTTAGTTGAAAAAATATAAAAGTACAGCTAAATTATGAAAAAGGTTTTCAGCAAAGTGAAATACAAGCGAATGTTTCGACATTTTACAATTGATATTGATGCCGACGACCTCAGAATAATCAGAAATCTATTCTGGGAACAAACTCTGCCAATTAAAGTAAAGGACATAATAGCAAGATGCAATAAAATTGAAAGACAATAATGCTTTGCTAGATGCAATACCTAAGACAGGAATTCCTATTTACATCCGATGTCTATAAAGTATTGTATGAACATTTTGGGCCCCTTTTGGTGTATCAAATGTATGCACTTTGATATCCACTTTGATTATCAGGTTAGCTGTTTGTAGTCATTTCGTAATCTCGTTTTTAGGCAAATATGTATCTCTTTTTAGGCCCACAGCAAGGTGAAAAAGTCAAAGTGGAGAATAGAAATGCTATGGATGAAGATATTGACGGAGTAAGAATGGCCACTGAACCAGAGAGTAGAAGTAAAGAAGGCATAAATAAGGAGAAGCCAGGTATATGACAAAAAGGAATAATATTTGTGTCAAGTTCCATTGTAGACAGATATAAGAAGTGGCGGCATTGGGGGAGGGGGGTCAAGCAGGGCTTGGGGCTGAAGCCTAACACTCTAGATTTTGGTTAGTCCTCATTCCCAACCAGCCCTTTTGGCCTTTCTCGGCCTTTCAGTCCCTTTTGGCAGTACATTTGCTTCTGCTAAACCGTTTGTCTTCTTTCTTGTTAAAGTAGATTGGTCGACTAGGAATATCTAGACATAAATTTTCATGTGGAGTATACATGCCCCTGAAGCCCTCCTAGATGCGTGCAATTTCATTCTGTGTTTTTGCATTTTTCGTTGGCTGCTATCCAGAATACAAACGGAACGTTAAACTCGAGTGCCCCCCTGATAACAGTCAACGAAATTCGGAAAAAGGGTGTCATGAGAAGAGTGAAAATCAAACTCTGGTTTATATGATAAAACTCTGATATGTGATAGTTTTGATTCATTGCTACGAGATATTGTTTTTCCACAATTGTTTTTGCCCCATTGCGCATGTGCATATAATGCACTTTTCTCATTGGCTTGGAGAATGAGATAGCCGTGAATAATAGCTATCTAGACTTGTCTCCCGAACAGCATTTGTATTGCACTGATCAATTCAAGTTGACAAACGTTGTTTATGTCTCTATAGGGTTTAAACCAATTCAGAATGCGATGGAGCACAGTTTTAAGACAGAAGACAACAAGGAAAAAGGCGAAACTGGAAAACCGGTTGCTAGTGCGGTTGTGCCGGGTACAGGGTGGCACGTTGTTTGGACAGAAAACTCGCGGCACTTCTTTTTTAACCCAACTTCAAAAACATCGATTTGGGAAAAACCGGTTGAGCTTGAAAGCGATCCGAGAATTGACGAGATTATAAAAGCAGGACCCGATGGAAGGAAAGAGGGTATAGTGTTGTTATTTGTTATTTTGTGTTCAAAGAGGCAAGGAAGGAAGTAAGAAGAGGTGTTTCTGCGTCATGTTTGTGAACGTGGTGCTAGAGACCAAAACGGAACAGTGAAACCCGTGTTATTAGGAAAACTATATAAAAAATGAAAACGGCTTTGAAAAAAAGCAAATATTTAACAGCATGCTGATGCAAAATCAAAACACAGTCTCTTTGATTGATTTGCTGAATCTCCATTTACTTCCAATGAAATTCATGTTAATGCTTTTCAGATTAGAGCTCGTTGATAGTCTCTAAATTGTGTAATGGGATAGCAACTGCGCCTTCTAATAATTGTTGTTATTTCCAGATTTAAAAAAGCCAAGTGACGGTGTCATTGCTGAAAGCGAACCAGCTCCAAAAAAGCCCAAGTAAGTCTAACACTTTTTCATTTTTGAAGATGGCACGAAATCGCGGAAACATTTTTCAGAGTATAAACGTAACCAGAAAATTCATATCCAGATGTAGATCGAAAACAGTGTTAGAGGAAGAAAGACGCGTTTATCAGCCGTACACTGAGGTGATTTAAGAAAGCGGTATTTCACAGTCTTAAGCTAGTCTGATCCTTATTGTACATTATAACGATGATTAATGGTTTGTTTTCCCATTCTACAGAATCGAAGAAGGGATGGCCGATGCTGGTCAAGATCAAAGCCATGATAGTAAAGAAACCGATGAGAATGGTGAACTCCAAGATGAGCAAGACGCAAAAGTAAAGAAGCAATCGATGAGTCTTGAGGAACGCATGGCTGAGTTTCGCATTCTCTTGCTGGAAAAACAAGTAGGTGAACATAATGAATACGTTTCTTTCGATCCACACCTGGATAGAAATTTTCTGCTTACGCAAACTCAAACTTAGGCCCAAATTACATTGAATTTCTTGCATGAAGAATGAAATCATTTCTCCAGAAAACGGTTAAATGTAATTAAATGTGACTTTAACACGGCGTTTAAATCTAATGCCGCATCAAATAGTTGAGTGCGGCATTAGTTCACCAGCCCTCGCTTAATTCACCAGGAGTGTGCCTTGCTATAAACAGTCGTATTAAGGCTGCTTGGTCCATGGGTTATATGACAGCCCTCTCTGATTTTGCTTGCCATTCTCGAAATCTGCATCTGTTCCCAGCAATTTCATTTGATATTGCTGCCCTGTTTGGGGTAATGTTGGTGAAACCTCTCTTGACAAACTTCAAAATTTCAGAACCGTGCAGCCAGAACAGTTACAAGATCTCAATATGATCAACCAGCCTTGCCAATCATTCGTGTTCTTGGATGGTCCACAGCCAGGTAGTTACTTGATCTTGAAAAACTCAAGATGGTTTTCAAATCCCTGAATGGTGGGGCGCCGTCCAATATGAGTGGCATGCCCACTAGGGTTAGCGAAACAATCCCTCGCGTACTGCGAAATTCTAATATCAACTTAAGAACTCCAAAGTTGAGCACATCATCAGGTCAGAGATGTTTCTCATATAGAGGAGCGAGTATCTGGAATGGGCTAAACGCTACAGCAAAAAGTCAACCAAACCTAAGAAAATTAAAAGAAGATCTAATAGATTCCAGCATTGCATGAGTCGCAATATTATTTTTCAAATGTTAATTTTTGTTTTAATCTTGTTTCATTTAATCTTATTGTATTATACTGTATTTATAATATTGATTTTAATAATACTGAGGGGCTACCTTGCCTAAAAAATTGAAAATTAATTGAAATGAAATGAAAATTTTTGTGCGCATTCGCTGACGATGGCCGTGAGAAAGAAGCAGAATTTTATCGACGTTTAAATCAACTTTCGCATTTAGTCACACAATTGCCAAATAAAATTCAATTTGATTCGACTCTGCAGAAATTCGGTGTTTAAACTGGGCCTTATGATGAAGCAGTGTTGTTTGTACGATGGTCTATAATGAAAGATGATTTCATATCTCTAAGGTTTCAGCCTTCTCCACTTGGGACAAAGAACTGCATAAGATCGTATTTGACTCTCGTTACCTTCTACTGTCGATGAAAGAGCGAAAACAAAGTTTTGAGAAGTTTGTTCGATCAAGAGCTGATGAAGAGAGAAAAGAGCGGAAGGTCAAGCAAAAGGAAAAGAAAGACGAGTTCAGAAAGTTGATGGAAGAAATTGTCTCAAGCGAAAGGTTAGTGTTAAAAATTTGTTAAGAACAGTTTGCTACACACAGAACAGTCAGCAAAATAAACCTCAAAATAGGTCATTTTGATAGGAAACCCTTTGATCGAAAATCTGTAGACATGTTGTTATTCGTCGAATTATCCTGAGAGCTTTCTTGATATTTCTAACCCTCATTTCTTTCAAGTTATTTTTTGTCACTTCTCTCGATTTGCCCTTCTCTCGGAAACTGTTCCTCGAGATTTTAGGCTAAATTTCTCCCTCGGTTGATTGATGGGTCTGCAAGGAATGCCTACTGCTGTTTCATATCTAAATTGCTTATCCCTGTAAAGTTTATTTTACCCGAAATATAAGGGCAAGTTTGTCTAAACGTAAGATTTGGTATTTGTCCCAGCTTTTCGTATGATGAAAGCTATGTTTGACTAATTCAAGTTCATGCTCTTTTTATACCACGTATGTGTTAGTTGTAATGATATCGTCCTAGTACACATTGCTGATATGTGAGATGCCTAATACCCATGGCTGACAATAATTCGTTCGTTCTTGGTAGAGAGAGGTTCTCTGTTCGTTGTATATCCGTTGTATATATGTTTTATCACAGCGATTGTTTCTAACTTTTCTTTCTGTTGTTAGGACAACATTCAGTGAGTTTACGTCAAAAGCCGCGAAGGATCCTCGCTTCAAGTTAATTGACAAGGCGAGAGAAAAAGAAGGGATGTTCAATGAATTTATGATAGAGTATCGGAAAAGTCAAAAGGAAAGAACGATGGTCGAAAATAAGAAAGTAAGTTGTTTGTTTTCATTTGTATGAACGGACCTGCTCAGAGAGAAGCGAAAGAAAGGACAGCTTTTGAGAGATGAGGTCTTGTGCTTGCCTAGTTGTTACAATGTGGTAGGGCTCTCCAGAGTGCTCTTTTTAGACGTAGGTCTTTCACAGCCCTGCTTGGTTTTTCGTCATATTTTAAAGCAAGTCTGTTGGAGACAGCTCTTAAATTTTTAACAGGTATCCAGGTTACCCCGTGTAAATTCGATTTCTACTGGGAAAAGATCTTAGTCAACAACTTTGTTATTTTTTGGGGATTATGTCGTGAGTGAATGTGTGCCCTACCATAGCAGGCAAGCAGCTAAGACCTTGTACGTACTGCCAGCAGGTCGAAGAAAGAATTTTTGTTTCATTGTGTGTGTGTGTGGCTATCTAGAATTTTAAAAAATTTTGTGTTTTTTCCAAGTGACTAGCTCAAAATAGATCAAGTTATCACTGTCATTTAGCATTTTATAGTTATTAAGAATTATGTTTGGCCAAGAAATTATAGAAAAAGGTCTAGATGGAAGTTTAACGAGAATATGATAATTATTTCTTGCTAGTGGGGATGAAGTGGGAAAAGGGTCCTGAATCTTTAATGTCATGCAGCCCTTAGATCTGAGATTGGCCTAAATTTGATCCATTCTTGAGCTTGTCATTTGCTTATTAAATAACATACTATATGATGGTGAAATGCAATTAAATTCGACGTCAATGGAGATTTATTTGGCTCTTTGCTTTTTGCCTTTTTATTACGACTCATTCAATAATTTATTACACACTGTTATGCAGATAATACAACCGAATTGTGTTATGTTGAGTTATAAAGCACTTTGCGGCAATCAAAGGTAAATTCTGCTTCAGTTTTACATAGCTTCATAACAGTGCAAAAAATTGTGTAATTTCTTAACGTATTTGAAAGAATTATTTTGAATAAAGTTTCCTTTCTGATTAAATTGCTAGCAAAACCTTGGTTCGCTTTAAAGATATTTCACTAACGGTGGCATAATCACCTTCACCCACAATCCCGAACCCCACACAAGATATTCGTTCGTTCATTTATAACTTTTTGTCAAAATACTGCATATAATAGTTGTAGGAATTAGAGGCGTTGCCCCTTTTAACAAGCCCTAAGACCTATAGTTGTTTCTTTAAAGCCATAAGAAGTCACTACATTTGTAATTATAGTGGGCAAGATTGCTGCAAAATGACGGATTGTATCAGTGCTCTTTCTGGTGTTCTAATTAAGCAGTGTATAAATAGTTTTTTCAATCTCGTGGTTACTTCATGACCACGCTTATTGACTTCCTCAATATCTGTGCCAGCCCCTTTTTTGTCAAGTCACAAAACTTAATCGCTTCTGTATATATTCAAACTTGCGTCAAGAGTGATGCAACAAAACGCGCAATTATGTGCAATACCATGTAGCTATTATTTTCAGCAAATAGACAGAAATGCTTAAGAGATGCTGTATCAAAGGTTTACAGTCGACGAGCTCTTTGACCTCGAATTACACTGAAAAGGGAACGTCGATTACGAGAAAATTTGTTCAATACGTCATTCTTGACATTTGATAGCTAGCGATAATTTTTGTAATTTTCTTGGTTTTTCTTTCATGTTCTTTTCAGTTCTATGTAGTGTCATGACCTGTCAGAGTCAATTCAGTGTTTTGCCCTGTGCTTGTCGTGTGACATCACATCCTTTTTGCCGTGTCGTGCCATTTTGTGTTATTGTCTTGTATTCGTTTCGTGTCATTTCGTGTAAATGTATTCTCATTCAGTTATCCATCTTATGTTTCATTGATTCTAATTTCAGTTTATCTTTTCTTCAGAAAACCAAACAAGTGTGTGTAATTCCTCCAGTTGAAACTTAGAGGTAAGACCACAATTCTTTGCTGAACAATAAATCTCATATTTTGCTTTATTTCTTGACAGGTTAAGAATGAATTCTTTGAGTTGCTTGGCGAGCTAAAAGGCCTAGATAAAAAATCTGATTGGAGAAAGGTTAAGGCATCCATAAGAGGCGACCCTCGTTATGAAGCAGTTGGCAGCAAGCACCTTAGGGAAGATTTATTCACAGAATATGTTTCTCGAAAAATAGTAAGTATTTTATTTTTCATTTTGAAGTTTTTACATCGAGATAGTTGTTCTTTCTAAAATGATTTAAAAGAATAGTGACGGATGATTTAATGACGGTTGATTTACAATTTTGCACTTGAAGGTAAACAGATCTGAAGAAAAAACTGTCAAAAAAGATCTTTTGTTTTTGTAAAGAAAAAAACTAAAACAATAGCCTCTGTTGACCGTCTTCTGCAGTTTAATTTTCTACTTATAATTGTTTTCTACTGTCAAAGCATCTTAAGATATTGTAGTTCACAGTTGTTTGCAAAGATAGTTACAAATAGATATCAAGTTATTTCTAGGAGGGGTTAGAATAATGATGTAGGCCTAGGCCTAGGTTCATTATATTTTTGTACATGACTTTGACATGCTCGAATAATTAAGAGCTATACATCGATGTATGTTTTTACGTGAGGCGTTCTAATTATTGGCACGGAAGAGGTTAGACAGCGCCACGATTTGCCCGTCTTGCTTTCAGTGGCATCAGAAATCGGTTTGGTTGCAAAAAATGAAATTAGATTACCAACCATTATTTTGTTATTTAACACCTTTGAAGCGTATTTTGTGCGGAGCTCAGAAAGTAGAACTGGTAATAAAATCTCTGATCATGTTAATTTGTTTTGTTTCGCGTTAGACTGAATCGAAGGAAAACGACCATATCAAAGAGCAGCTAAGAGAAATACGAAATGATGATGAACGAAACGAAAAGCAACATCGAGTGGAAGCGAGTATCAAGCAGAGAGAGGAAGAAGTTCGTGCCAAAAAAGAAGAGATTGAGAAGGACAGGCGTAAAGAAAGAGGGGTACATATGCATGAGAAGGCGGTAGAAAATTTCTTGGCTTTACTTACTGACATGGTGAGTTGGAGAGGTTTGCTTCCTATTCAACAGTGTTTTACAATGTCAAGGCACTCACTGATTGTAAGACACTTTTTTACAGAGTGGTTACACTTTGAATAAGAAATCTGCAATATGTGATTTTATGACTTGTTGGTACTTTCTGCTCAACAAGTAAAATCTAGTATATATCTATTGCTTTTTTTATTCCCAAGATTTCCAAAGTAAAGGTTTTTAAGGCTCTAGAAAATCTTCATAAGTGTTTCAACTAAGGCTGTTTCATCATCATCAGGTATCATCTTTTATCAGAAGGTTGGCTACCATGACCCTCAATCTATCCCAAAATCTGAGTTTTGGTTTGTTGCATGGTCATAGATAAAACTAAGGGGCTAATAGTAGAGATAAGCCCCCAGAACCACCTCTACAGTGTTTTTAGAGGGACACCATCCCTCTTTCCAGGAGGTCACAGCCCGAAGCCGTTGACCCCTGGAATCGTAGCTCATCCGCCCTCCTTTTCGGTCTTCCGCCGAGTTAGCCGTTGGCCATCGCTCGTAGCCCTGAGCTAGGGAACCTTGCCAGGTGGTACCAGTCGGGTCAGGCTGGACCTGTAAGCTAGTGGAGGGAAGGGACGCTTTAATGCCCCATTCATGTCCTGTCGGAGCATGCCACTGCCCTGAAGGCTGTTTCAGAGATCATTTTTAATAGACTTTGGTTGAAGATTATAATTGTCTAGTCTATAAACTATAAGTGAATTTATACCTGTAAGGGGAACGTATAAAAGGCACATTGTATCTTAAAAGGTAGAGAAGGATTTCGTTTGGAGGATTAGATGTCCCTAAGTTGCTAAGCTGTGTATTACGCTTATAGCGATAATCTGACAACTTAACTACTTGGAATGTCTTTTCTGGTTAATAGCGGGCTGGTTTCATCCCTTTTGTGGAAGCATCGACAAAATTGTTATTTTCTGGGTATGTGTGAGGCCCCCTTAAAAAGAGAGATCTATGTGCAAAATTTATCTTCTGAAATTTTACTAGTCTAATCGACTTTTTAGATTTTTGACGGTCAGCAAATGTGAAGTTATTTTATTTTCTAACATGACAAAATCCTGGTCATGTATTCAAGTTGTTTCAAGGCACTGGTATTGTTATTAATAGTGTCTCTTTTTTAGTTTTTGGCTCTTATTTTATCAATTTTTTATACTTGAAAGTCATTTCTGTTGCTTTCAATATTCTTCGGTTTGAAAATTTTTTTGACGGTACAAAATATGAAAATAGCTTTGAAGAAAGCAAACATTTTACAACATACTAAAAGCTTTTTCGTCTGACAATCTTTGAGAGTATACAGTGGTGGTTTTAAGAGGGGGTCCAGAGAGGCCATGGCCCCAGGCCCCGCGCTTATGATAGCCAAAAGGGGCCCCACACCTAAGAAAAAAAGATGGAAATTGTAAAGAACAAGGTCCCCGCAGTCCCTAAAACCGCCACTGAGAGTATATTGCTGGAATTTTTCGATTTATTTCAATGCTCTTCTACAAGGTACGGGATCCAGAAATTTCGTGGAAGGAAACCCGGCGATTTCTTAGAAAAGATCCAAGATGGGATGCGCTTGAAGTACTTCCGAAGCCGGAGAAGGAGAAATATTTCAAGGAGCACATCGACGAGCTGAACAAGAAGAGAAAGAAGCAGTTTTTGAAGATGCTAGACGAAAACGAGGTTGCTATTTTGTTATTATTTTACGTACTAATGTGTGCGGGGCAATTTGCCTTTCAACCCAGTAAAATCTCCTTTTTTGTCAAAAGACTTGACCCTCGTATGAAAAGGTCAAGAAAACACATCAGTCTAATTGAAGAAAAAGAACTTATGAATCTCTAGTTTTCATAAGCATCAACGTATATTTGTACCATTCTATAAGCGAGCAGCGTTGCTTTTTCGGGATATTATTTTCCTAATAAAAGAACTGCTGTTATTACGCAACAAACATTGTTTAACGTAATATAGAAAGCAACAAACCATTATATGATATTTTTTGTCAACTTTGGATATAATACAGCCTTCCCAAAGCTGAATAGAATTATTATTCTATGGCCTTCTCTCGAGTTTGTAAAATTACAGATCACCGTACGTATAGATGGATACTATCCTGTTTGTTATAGCTCATGTGTTTGTTAAAATCCTGATGCACAATAAACCTCTGCAGTGCTTTCTTCACTGCAACTTCGTCTTGTTGTGAAAAATGATACCATACTCGAATACACTCACTGATACCGGGATCTGGTTATTGCCCTCCAGATATCTTTGCCCTAGTAGAACAATTTCTTTTACAGCTGATTTCATTAGAACCATGGATTTGTTGAAAGAACAGTAAAGACGCTGTTTTGTATACTCGAGCAGGAACCCTCAATGCACTGGCAACTGTATCTTCCTTTTTTCGCAAGATGTATTTATCATTTTTTAGTTACCTTTGGATGCACAATGGAAGGACGTGAAGAAAGCGATGAGGCAGGACTCAAGATACGAAATTTTCCCAACTAGTGAGGTAGGAAAGATCTACTTCCGTCGTTAAAATCTTGTTCATAGGCCTATTTTCATGATTTGTCTTTAAATCGGTGTCATATTTATACTAGTGACTGGTTGAGCATGCTCTATCGTCGTTTAAAATTGTCTGGTTACTCACGAGCCCCAAGACTAGGCCCATAAAACCTTGCTCGAGGGATTCAATATTTTACTAGAGATACTTTGTCTCGGTTTCCTCTCCTACTGTATACTGTATACCAACAGAGGTTTTTATGTACCAAATGTGGAAAATTCTGAACTTGTTTCTCCCTTTTCAGGCACGAGAACAGGTTTTCAACGATTACATGAGAGAAAAATACAAAACTGCAAAGGAGCACTTCAGAAATCTTCTAATGGAAACGAAGCTCATCACTCACAAGTAAGTCTCGATCTGGTCCATTTTCATGTGATTTGGTTCATCTTGTTGCTTTGAAATGTAGCTAGTTGGAAACGAAAAGATGCCTTACGTCTGCATGGTGATATTTGCCGAGCTTTCACTCAATCAAATCTTATCCAACTGGCGTTTTCGGTATCATGATATGGAACTTTTCAATTATGCTACTGTCAAACAAAACTGTCCTTTAATTATGCTAAAATAGTCGTTCTCTGTAAAATCTGATAGGTTAAATCAAGCTTTCATTTTATGTTATTGAATTGCTAAAATAAACAACATAATTCCTGTATCCAGTGTACAACACTACACATTGGAAGCCGACATTTTACACTCTAAAACACAATTTTATCTCCTTTTTGACATACCTTAATTTTTCCTTAACTACGATGCTCTTGAAAATTAGGATTCTGGGCCTAAAATTTTGTTTAAATTGTTCTTAAGAATAAAGTTAAATCAAAACATTCTAAGAAATATTACCTAATTTATCCTCTCAAGTTATCATTCGACCTCTAATGAAATATTTAGTATAGCATGACTGTTGCTTCGTCAAAATTGAATGTTATCCAAAGACTTTTCAAATTTCAAATTAAACAATTAGAAGCATGGAATTGCTGTTTATTTATTGTATTTGTTTTTGAAACTAAAATGGCCATGGCAGGAAATTGTGGGCTTATGTTTTAACCTTCTGGCATTTTATATTTTTCAGGACGAAGAAAAAGATTGAAGAAAACGCAAATCATATGAAAAGCATTATCGAAGTTCTAAAGGTAAGATGAATAGTTATGATTAGATTTATATATGTTTGTAGTAGACATCTTAGCAGCCAAGCAGTGTCAATAAAACGTACGCGGTACCAATCAGGATCGGCGTCTCAAACTTTTTTGTTAAGCGGAAAATTGAATTGTTTATTTAGGACATGCTGGAAGCATGTTGTCTAAGCTCACATTCTCTTAGCTCGGCTCGTTTTTTTTCTGGCCACTTGATAACGAGTACAAGCTCGAAATGTCGTGTTTTGAAATATCCTCTTGACTTTGCCAATCTTCAAAGAGTTTATGTTTAATCTTATGTTTGAAACTGTTGATGTTCTTTGCAGATTTACCGACCCATCTCTCCCCATACTTTAAAAGGGGAGACTGTATTGCAGAGAAAGGCAATCATTCAAGATTTATGCTTATCCCCTCCCCCAACTTGAACTATTTGTAATGACTTCAGATATAAGCATTTTTTTATTCTGGTAAAAAATTCCAAATACGTGTCGTATATAAATGACAGTGCACAGCTACTTACCCATACATTTGGAAATCGAAGCTTAGTATGAAACAGATTTGTATAACAAATCTCGTATGTCAAGAATAATAAGACCACAGACCCTACTGGGCACCTGCTTAGACAATGTTTTTCCTCTGTCTTATTCGTTTTAAGATTAATTCAGATTTCATTATATTTTCATTCCTGTAAGACCTTATTATATCTTTCTCTCCCCTACCCTGTTTTCGATGATTTCTAAATATCGTGGGTCTATTTTCAAGATGATTCAGTAACAGTTCTCTTATGTATGCATAGGTAACAGTTATTATGTTAGAACCTCTTAATGTTTCTTACCTCTTTTTAATTACTTTTTAGTAAGCATATTAAGACTAGAGATATTTTTTATGTTTTAGAAAGATCAGAGGTATTTGATACTAGATCCTGTCCCAGAGGACAGGGAACGAATTATGCGACATCACATAGAAGATTTGCACCACAAAGGTACACCCCCACCGCCCACTGCCACAGACCCATCCGAAAGGTACAAAAAAGAATGGTCACTTACATCGAGAGGAAAGTTTCCGGACAGTGGTTTTGACAGTAAGGATGACTGGTATGCTAAAAGAAAACTATAGTGATGTCACTGAGATGTTCAGAGAAGCTGCTTTTAGCAGGCAGATAGCCTTTCAGGATAGAGGCTTTGTAGCTTTGGAACCTTTAACAGGCATGATGTTTTTGCTATGCTAGATTCTTTTAAACATGTAAGATAGTACAGTAGCCTCATACAATGTCAGTTTGTCTTTCATTAAACACAGTAATAAGCACAGGTTTCGGCGAGTATTTTAGCCTTGCTAGGCTTGCAGATACATTAGTGCTCGACCCACCTGTATCAAATTAGGTAACTTTCAATTTTAATTAGTTCCAAGTTCTTACTTATTCAGTACTTGCCCAGATATGCAAGGGTAAGACCGACATTGGAAATCCCATTCTAACGAATCAGCTCTCTAATTACCTACTCGTTGTAATGGATTAGAAATTGTAGGTTTCGGCTTTATTCGCTTTGTAGTTTTGGCTGATAAAGAAACATTTTCCATAATGGTTTTGGCTTGGATTTCTATGTACATGCGTCGTATCTTTGAATACAAACTACAGGAAATATTGACATGTTATTTTAAACAAACAGGGACCGGCAGGTATTTCGCTATTTTATGTCAATAACAACGTTTTGTTGATTGTGCAAGGCAAGTTCTATCTTGATCAAAATTACCTTGGACAAAATTTTTGGGGCAAACTTTTTAAAAACAGGAGAAAATAGGTGTAACAGAAATAGCCTTACCCCCTCCTTATCTCTGCAAATCAATGTTGGAGTTATAGCTACAGCATCTAAGAGCAATTCAATCGCTCCAACATGGAAATGGAGGGCTAGTAGAGAGTTTTAGTTTTTTGAAATGGAATTATTTTTCGAAAATCTCAACCATCTTTGTCCTTTATCTTCAGAATTTGATAATCAAATCATTAGAAAAATCATGCACGTGTAAAATAACAACTGGCTTAGTCCGTAAATGTCTTTAAATTAGAAGAATTTGTCTGGGTAGAGGATTTTGTGAATGCTGTATGGCATTATAACGGATTTCGGTAAAACCTTTTCAGCGATTTGACCATCACGCACAGGATAACCATGAAATTAATCACATTTAATCAATCTCTTAATTATTAGCGGCCTTTTATCGATTATTTCGTCCGTTTAATAATGGATGTGGTTAGAATTCGGCTCGCTTGAAATAATAGAACATGTATGTCAAATGCATGTATGATTTATGATGAAAACCGCTAAAAGGAATGAATGAATAATTTTTCCTGCTCCGGTTCTTACTATATACACGTCACAATTAAAAATTAACTAATCCATAGCAAGCAAACGAGATCTGAAAGTTTTTAACTGTGTTGCTTCTCGAAGTTTTTATCAAAAGATCATCTAAACAGTGGTTGGAAGATTGTCTCTTAGTCATGTTAATGAAATGTTATGAAATTCATGAAATGTTATGAAGTCATGTTAATGAAATGAAATTTAATGAAGACAACCAGGAGAAGAATTTAGAGACATAATAGCTTATGGTCTTGAAATTTTTATCTGGACAAGAGAAGCTAATGTAAATCTGTTATGGTTTGAGGTTTGAACGTTGAAGCGATAACTCACATAGCAAAATGATTCATTGATTCCTTTTCCCAAGCCAAATTGCCCTAAATGTAAACCCTCTCCCTAAGACAAGAGCCACAATGCTGACAGCAGCGCTACTGTTTGTCGACTGGAGGTGATATTTCTCATTAATAAACATGCATGAGAAATACAACTTAATCTATTCATAGGACATTCAGAGGCTTTATCCCAATTTTTAGACAAAGCCCCCGTTTCTCGGAAAATCTCTTCTCCCACCCGATCAACTTTCAGTTTTGAATTCTACAACAAAAACTTGTCTGGAAAATGTTGGTTTGGCAAAGTTCCTTCTCGGGTCGTCATTGACAGCACATTCAAAAGCTGCGTCCCCGTTTTCGAAATATCCCCTTTATCTCGAAAAAGCAACCTCTCCCGCCCGATCAACATCCAGATTCGAATTCTGCACCAAAAACTGGTCTAGAAAAGTTGGTCTGGTAAAGTTCCTCTTCGTGTGGCCATTGCTAGCTCATTCACAGGCTACATCCCAGTTTTTGGACAAAACCCCCTGTATCTCGGAAAAGCGTTCTCTCCCGCCCGATCAGCCTCCAAATTTGAATTCTACGCGAAAAAACTGGTTTAGAAAAGTTGATCTGGTAGAGTCCCTCATCAGATGGCAATGCTCCCGCCCCCTTGTGCCTCTGGACTACAACCGAATTCGCCGATAAACAGGTGTAAAAATTTATGGAAGAAGGAAACTCAGAAAAATTTTGCGAAAAAGAAATCCTGTTTGTATGTTTGTGGGGCAATGTTGGCATCTGGGGTATGAGTTTATAGAGGTGCCAGAAAGCTACGCAGAGGAGAACCGTTAACGCTGCACAGGAGGAGCGTGGTGTGACTTGGCTTCCTATTGCATTCACAAGGTCAAGCACATGCTTCGGAAGCTTAGGACTTGCCTATGGTGTTTTCTTAGAAATGTTTTAATTTATGCTGTGTACGCGGAGTATGATGAGCAAAGTAGAATCGAATGCTAGAAACAATTCTTTAGATTGTGATGATTCAGAAGACATACTGAAATCGCTTCGCCAAGTTAACGAAGATGATACATTAAGTCGAGTTTTGTGTTCGGAGCCGGTTACACGTGTTCTTGAAGGAGAGGACGATTCGGGATTTTCAGGCTCACCGATAGACAGTATGGTGAAATTCAGCGAAGAGGTATTGATTTTTACATTATAAAGTTGTAGAATATCGCTACATTCTGACAGCCCTCTATTTAAGGCTCTTGTTACAAACGAGATGATTGTTTCGTAAGAATGCTGACGAGGGTCGAAGTACAAGCATTTGGGCCTAACACGTTCTCACATAGTACCCGCATTCATTCATCTTTTCAGTCCCTGGTTGGCAAGCTCTTTCTCGTTCAACAGTTCTCCTGCATAGAAATGAAACCATGCACTTTAATGAATTCATTTAACGAAGTTTTTACAGTTTATTAGATTGTTATTTTAATTATATAAGTTGTACAGAATCAAATTTCCTGGTATTTCTGAAACGATTTGCAAAGCAAAGATTGTGTAGGAATGCGTAAAGAATTTTCTAAGGCATATTTCGGTAGCAAAAACTGCTTTATGGCCTGTTGTTGCAATGTAAAATATTGGTACTACAGTTTAAGCAACACTGAAGAACAAACTATTATTTTATTTGGGTTTATTAGTATTTGCCACAACAGGTAGGTAAATGATTTCCGCTAGCAAACGTCTTCACTTCCCGTCGTGGGGTAGTCGAAATTCGTATTTATTGACTGTGACAAGCGATTTAATGTAAAGAAAGTGGTTTTAATGTGTAAGAGCCAACACAAGTTTTAATTATAATATTAAAAAGTAAACATGATGTGCCTAAAAGGTGAAGTTTATGCCTTGGAAAGCATTTAAAATTTGCTTCACATTGAACTTGCAAAAGTAGTGAGCTTTAAACTCAAACTCAAATCCTACTTACAATTACCAGCTTCTAGGAATGCTAGACGCTAGACATTTAGGTGTCTCACAGGTTAATGATTGAATGAATCAAAATGTAATATAAGTTATAGGTAGGAAGAAAATATGTGCTTCATGAATAGTTTATTTTGCTTCCTGGTTATCCTTATCATCAACATGTACAGAAAATATTTTAATTAGATAACCATGAAGTATTACACCCCTTTTTGGTTTCATCTCATTATCAATTATATGAGTTATCATTTCAAGCATTTGAAAATATTTTTTTTTCTAAGGTTACATTGTGTGCTGCGTCTCATGTGGGAGCCACTATGGCAGAATGTATATCAGATGGTAAGTAATAAATCAATGTACATTTGTGTTTCATTACTTTTTTGTTGGGCTGTTCCATTTCCATCAACAGTTTGACTTCCAAATGATCCTTAAAATGCATTTTGTTTGAAGGGGCATGACAACATATATAATAGATAGGGGGCTTGAAGCCAACTGCCAGGCCATTGCTTTTTGTACAACAACTACCCTCCACTTTAAGCCATAGATGGTTATCATCATCTTACAAGTTTTTATCAAGCAATATGTATGCATATTATCAAGCAATATGTATACACAAATGCCTCCAACAAATTAGAAGTAATAAATGTTAGCCTTTGTGATTTAGATTTGCATTAAATGTCTCATTGAATTACCAGTTTCTAGGAATAAATGTATATAATTGTTTTAGCTCAAAATAGCTTATTCTCTCTTGAAAATTAAGCAAACTAAGAGAGAAGAGAGCACAATGAAATTTTGAGTATAGAAATTGACCTTCTTTGTGGCTATACTACTGAACTGCTTTATTTTCCACATGTTTTTGTTATATATTTGTTATATATATTCTATTAAGAAGACAATAAAAGTATATATATATGCATATAAATTATTCATCTATGAATTTTTTGGTATAATTGGCTGTTTGATGCTTTGTATCTCAAAATGTGTTGACAAGAAATCCTTTATTCTTTAGTGATTCCATTATAATAAATTGGATTGGATAAATTGGATAAATAATTGAGCAAAATGTTCATTTGAGCTTTATAAATCAAAGCCATTTCAAGGTGTAAAAGTGTGATGTAAAAACAAGACAATTATATAGATAAAGTTATTATTCCTTTAATTCATCAGTTTCTAGCCAGATTGTTCTTTTTTTCTAGGTATTGAGGCAAATGATATTGGTAGTCTGCTGGAGCAGTTTTTGGAGTATGAGAAAGGTGTGAATTCATTCATGTATATATATATTTTTCATAATAAACTGCCAGAACCAAGTAATGTGTACTCACAAAGCGTAAAGCCTTTATATACTTATTTGTAAGTCATTTCTTACTTATCTTTACATGTATAATTTTAGGGTATTTATTTAGATAAAATCCTTGATATAGTAAATATATATAACTGTTACAAAGTGCTTGACGCTCGGCATAACTGTGCAGTCATGTTTTATACATCAAAAGCATAATCTTTTATATGTTTGTTACAATATATATATCTTTGATGAAAAGGCATTTATAAGCAAAAAATTCAGACGTTTATGCTAAAGTTTTTCGCTGACTCTCTTCAGAATATTAAATGTCAGAGCAGTTACCGGCCTTGCACAGAGAGACAGCTTGATCAAGCACCTCTGCATGTGCCTAGAAAGTTGTAGGAGCTTGATTGATCAAGCACCTAGTGTGTTTATGCTGTATAAAAACTAAATTAGAAAACCAAATTTTGTTATTGATGATATTTGATGATGCACAATCAAGTGCCAAGAAAGTTAAAGGTGCTCAGTTTGTCAAGCACCTGTTTTTTGCTCCTCACAAGGCCTGAACAGTTAATTTTGTTAAGCTGTAATTTGTAATTTTTTCTTTTCATTTTACCCATGTAAATTCCCTGCAAAGTCAATGACCTTTACTTTTATACAGCATCTGAAATGGTGCTATTTTAGTTTTCATGTAGTGTTGTGCAGACTTCAAAATTGTATATAAATAACAAATGCCTATATGGAAGAAACAGATGCCTCAGCTCCCATCGTGACCTCTAAAGGGTATAGATGTAGCATGTATTGTATATATGTTTTTGCTGTATTCACAAGGAATAGAGGAAGTTAATTTTCACTGCATTTTTTAGATTTTAATGTCTTCAAGTAAAATTTCATGATAAAAATATTTTTTTAGCCATCAGTCCTGCAATGAGCCCTGCTATGACCGCCTTTCCAACACCAATGCATTCACCAGGGTAAGCAGATATTGTCTGTACCTTTAATCAGACAATGACACCATTGTAAACAATATGGCCATTGAAATTTGAGTCCCTTTGTGAAGCCAATGAGACATCAAGTGTCATTGTTTTTTCACAAAAAGTTTGGTATGTTTATTCAATGAGGAGTTGAAATTTTGCAAATGTTGTTTTAAGTTTATCATGTTGTGTTAAGGAAATTTTAGCTAGTCCTATAAAAAAATTAAAGACAGATGAGACAGATAAGATTTTGAAATGAAAGAATTGCCCAATTTTTTCAAGTTTTGTTTATTTGGTTTTTAACTGTAGACTGCTGTCAAATAAGTTCACAAAAGTACAACACTTTAATACCTTTGTTAAGGGTAGTACATCTTTACAGCAATTAGCAATCATCAATGTTCAGAAGATGAGGATTCCATTTCATGGATATTATTTGTCTGAATTGTCTATTTTTATTCAGTATTTGTGAAAGTTTTAGCCTTCTGTGAACCTCAATTTTCCTATCTCCTTATTAGGGAAGAAACCAAATTAAATTTTGATGCTGATTTCAAAATAAAAGATCCTGTGAAAAGACTTCAAATTTCAGGTTTGTATTTAGTTAAGAATTTACGAAAACCCATTTGTATGTATACATTTGGACACTTGACAAAGCCCAGAACTGTCCAATTTTTGTTCTCATCTCACTACTAGAAGTTTACCTTGTATTAAAAGCCCAGCTTGAAACGTAAATTCCAACAAAATAACATTTGCCCGTTTTAGGAACTTATTTCTACTACACGTAGTCATAGCAAATTATTTTTTTATTTATTATGGTGACTTAAGATAGATGGTAAACACATTAGCAAGCATTATTTAAATTTTATAAAGAACGGTTTTGGTGCAGTTTTTTATAAACTTTTAGCAGTCTTGTTGTCCATCTACCTACAAGCGAAAAAGCAGCCATTGTGTGGACAGCAGGAGTTTGTTTTCTCCTTTGGACTTCAGTGGTAATTTTTCTTTAGGCTCGCCGCACTGATTGGTCAACTATACTGGTGCTTGCGTTTTTTTGATTGGCCTATTCCGGTCCACAACTGGGTATATATTTTTCATTGTGTTCTTTCGGACCCTTATTCTGACGTTTTATGCTCTGAGGAGTGTCAGATGATAAAACATTTAGCCAATATATTGTAAAATGTTTGCTTTTTTCAAAGCCATTTTCAAGTCTTGTTGTTGTTGTTGAGTATGCAAACCCGACACGATCAGTTTTTTCCCGTGTTTTGTTTGTTTTTGCCTGTATGTTGGCAATCAACTTCTGTATTTATCATTAGCGCAAACAGAAACACCACCATTGAGTCCCATGGAAAAGCCATTAAACTTGTGCGAAGAAGAAGAGGAAATTCTAGGATGTGACTTGGTTGTTTATAGTCATATAACAATCTCAACAACAAATACTGATGGCGATGTTGCTGGTATAAAGGTAGATGATGAGTTCAAAGAAACAGCAGAGAACATGGAAACTGTTGATGTTGAAAGCATAAAAGACAAAGAATGTGTGGTTGTCAACAGAGATGGGGTTGTTGTTGTAGAATACCACGATGCTAAACCAAAAGACAAAACTTCAAATACGGAAGTTCAAGACAATGACAGCGAAACCAAAGAAAATTTCCCACAGAGAAAACTGAAATCTGTTATTGAGCAGTGTTATAGAATTCCTAAAATTCCTAGAGATTCGAAAATCAGATCACGATCGCGGTCTCCCTTGCGGCGTCACATAAGTCGATCACGTGACAGATCAAGGTCACGTGGGTATAGCTCAAGTTCGGATGAAGAATATGATAGACGAGACCGATTTGAAAAATATAAGTCTGAGAGGCGAACTCCAATGCGGAAAGAGGATAGGAGAAAGAGGAGGAAATATAGTAGCTGCAGCGATGATGAATATGACTATTATAGATATTCGAAACGGGATAGTGGAAGGAGTCATAGCCCTGGAAGAGCACGAAATGAACATGATTATAATAAACCCAGACGGTCTCATAAAGATTATTATCGAAGCACATCTCTCCGTGAAAGGAGTGAAAGAGGCAGCTCGTCAGGTAGGCGTCATCGAAAAGTAGATGTTCGAAATGACGAGGCTGAAGATGTACATGAGAGGCTAGCCACACTTGCTGCGCCTGTACCTTACGATATAGAGCAGGAAAGGAAGATTGGCTTCTTGGTCCATGAACGGAGATCAAGTGGGGTAGGTCTTTGTGTTCTTGCTCATTCCACGTGATTTGTGTGTTCAATGTTGAGATTGGTCAAGTCAAGAACAGCGGGACAGTGTTCTCCAGTTATGGCTATTATAGATCCGCTGTTTCATGCATTTAAGGAACGTTTACATTTAGTTTTTTTTCTGCTCATCAGAAAAATTTAAACTGATAACCGTAGAAGGGCCAGTTCACTTAGATTAGTCAAATGCACAAGATTTTTTGTAAGCCCGCTTAATTTTGCTGAGAACTTAAATTCCTGGTATATTCAGGTTTTAGTTTTCTCGCTTGAATTAATAGACCTATTATCTAAGCTTATCTTGGAAAGAAATCAAGGTTATTCTTTGCAATATGGTCTGATGTAGAGTCTCCGTTTGGAGCCGCTGTTTTGCTTCTTTTTACTTCACTTTGTCTAGAGCTTTCTATTCTTTTTAGCATGAAAGACGAAATGTCTACGCAGGCGGAATTAAAGAGAACATGACGAGAAGCGACCTCATCAGAAGATTTGAAGTCTTTGGTCCGATAGAGAGAGTTACTTTGCATTTCAGAGAAGAAGGGTAAGACCGTTTTTAAGTTGCCAATGCTTGCCAAATTAAGAAGAAGGGTGGGCAACAAAAGGAAAATATTTGTAAATCCGTCAGGAAAAGTGTTTTCTTGCATGTTCCTCCATTGTTCGAATTTCTAAAAAACTCATTTTTTGTGATGGCGATAGATTTTATTTTATGTAGCCTGATTTTCAAAAGGCCCAAAGTTAGTTTGAAATCAAAGAACGACCTTTCAGAGAACTCCATAAAACGGAAAGGGTTCAGATTTTCATGGCTAGGGTTAGGCCAACAAAAGATTGTGCTCTCTTAGTCATTCATGAACTGGCGAAATAACTCAAGAACAGAAAGATTGTACTGCTTTTTGTCATATAAAGTTAGTCTTTTTAGTTTAAGAGGTTTTTCTTGGAATGAAGTTGTATAAAGAGACGAATCTTGAAAGCCAGTTTTCTGTCTTTACAGGGACAACTATGCATTTATTGTTTTCGAAGATTCCAAAGATGCTGTTCGAGCTGTAGAAGGTAAAGACCATTTGGTTTATTGTTAATTACCGTATCGTAGTTAGATTATAGAATTAAGCTTACGAGTGCTACAGCAGAATGAGGATATACCTAACAGAACAGGAAATAAGTACTAACAAAACACACAGGGGTGCCCTACATTATGGGTTGTGTATAGATTGTGTATATGTTGTGTAAAGGTTGTGTATAGGTTGTGTATAGGTTGTGTATAGGTTGTGTATAGGTTGTGTATAGGTTGTGTATAGGTTGTGTGGATTCGGTACGAAAACTTCGAAAATAAATTATAAGAAACGGATACTTTTGTAATTATTTTTAAGATGGTCGATGGATGGTGGTCGTCGTTTTGGAAAGGTTTATGAAAATACCACCCATCTAACCATTTCTTGCAGCTCTGTTGAAAAGATTACGTCAATGTCTCAAATTCATGGGTCACCATTTTTGCAAACCGCAGAATTTTGAGTTGATTGTCCTTGTTGGATTTCCTGTATTTATTAAATGTGTTCTTTTTTCAGAGGGCAACAACGACCCTAATTATACCTCTCTCGACTTGTGTTTTGGTGGGAGGCGAAAATTCGTCGGTGGCAGTTACGTTGATTTCGGTAAGTTTCGGACTTATTCATTCATTTTTTTCATTTAATCTTATTTATACACTACATCCATTCAGTAAAAAAGAAAAGTTATGATAAACAAATAGAAAGACCACATTACAAAAAAAATTATTAAGGTTAAGCTAGTATAATTTATTTGATCTTCAAGGGAGTCATGCCGGGCTAATTTCTGTTAGCTCAAAGGGTGAAATCTTTGTTCTTTTTTAAATTTTACGATGGAATCGATATCTCTGATGGATTGTGGGATTTCATTCCAAGCAATTGGACCAGTGTACAAAAAACCTCTTTTGGTGTACTATAGTGTTAGTTTTTACGCATGGAGATCCTGTCTATTCTCTGTGTTGTATATTGAAATGGCAGACCTTTGACAAACCTATTTTTTTAGCTCTTCAAGACAGAGCTGATTGACAAAATTATAAGTCATAACTGCTCGGTTAAACGTCATTAATTTATTTACGTTCATGGATCTCTTATCCCAAGCATCCTTTACCTTTGAAGATCCTATTAGATCGAATGCTCTGTTCTGATATTTATTCAGAGTGCTTAGTTTGGTATCATTTTTGCTGACCGTTCTTTGTTGCCATTTTGTCTGTTTGGAGATTTTCCAATATTTCTGCTTGAAAAGGCTCTTTTCATTTAAGAGAGAGCCCCGGTTTGCTTGATATGTATCAAAACTTGAAAATAAAAAGTTATACAACACACACCCCACTTATAGGTGAACGATTTTTTGAGTAAAGGCCGGTTTCCACTTAATTCGCTCTGATCGCGCGACTTTTGCGAAAGCAAATCAGCACATCAGCGAATTGGCGAACGCGACAAGTCGTTCAGTACTTCAACTGAGTTGAACCGCTCGGCAAATGGTCGAGTATTTGCAGCGAAAGAGGAAGTTGAGTCTTGTGTATGCACAGAAGTGCGTTCGCTCAGTCGCGCGACCAATGCGAATCAAGTGAGAGCCGGCCTAATAGGTTTTGATGACTCTGTTCATCTAACCCAAGGATATATTTCAAGAGAGTTTCGCTGGTCTGTAGTATGAGTAGATTGGCATGATAAGGCTTTTTGCGTAAAGATCCCACGATGTATTTTAATTTTCAAGATACGCTTGCCCAAAAAAACAAAGGGCACCGATAGACAGAGGGCCCTTGTTTATGGCCATTTCGGCATTATGAAAAATATCCGTGTGTGAAAAGTAGAAATAATAAATTTTTTTGCTTAAGTTGTTCTTTCTGACATCTTTTGTTCTTTTTCACAGATGCCAATATTAGCTACCTCGAAGAGAACGACTTGTCTTGCACGCGGCCAGCCGCGCCTGCATCCGATCTCGAATTTGATGCTTTGCTGAAAATGGCGAAGAGGCAGCAATCAGTCAAGTGATACTAGAATCAATGTTCTTCAGTAGAAAAAAACTAGATTTGTACCAACCGAATAATGTTTTGCTTTTGAATATTAGCAATGAGTGATTCGATGTAACATTTTCCAAATTCTGTTCTGCTGAAAAATTTCCGATAAATCTGTTTCCATAGATGCCAACCCCATCTCCCAGTTCCTCGAGTTAAAGCTTGTCTGTCGTGTTGATAGTCTTCGGTTTGACTGCATCCTTCAGCGCACACTACGTCTTTCATGATTAAATTTTTGTATATATGCAATTAGTAAAAATCACATTTGATGACGTAATTAAGCTGTCGGTTTTACGAAGACTCATCTCAAAGCGTTTAGCTTTTTTATCCATACGGTTCATGTTTGTGAAATTTCATTTCAAACAATTTGTTTACACGTTAGTTCGATATTCTAATTGATAGTAATTTGAATTTGCCGCTTGTGTAAATTTGTTCACTTAGTATCAATTCAATTGTGAAAGTATGTGCTGAAAAAATACGTCAAACTATGCATTCAGTTTCTTCCTGACCAGTCAACAAATAGGAATTATTTTGTCTTTAAAACTGATAATTGATATCGTCTCACACGAAACTTCACATCAGCCATTTTTTAAAAACTGCATCAAGATTTTCACCAAAGTTTGTCTTGATGTACTTCTGCGGCGCTTCAATCATGGCTAAATCATTTAAACATCTTCAAACAAGCTGGACAGTATTGTTATGCTCTTTTTCCCAACTACACATTACAATACTGTTAAATTTTAATATTGTTTTATTTCCGATAAGAATCTAACCGTCCTAGTTTCAATAAACTACTTTGCTTGCTGTAAATTTTGTACGAGAGGATAGAAAAATACCAAGAAATTTCACTGACAACATAAAATGACGCTACAAATTTTCCCGATTGAAAGGTTGGGACAGCTTTCTTCCAGCCTCCTCTATAGCGCCTCTCTCAGAAAGCTGAGTAAGAAGTGTCCATAACAAAATAGTAACAGCGTCAAAATGGCTTATTTTCTAATCTCTACAGGCTCATTTTTGGTGGTGTCATTTCGTGTGATTCGTATGTCGTGTTGCGAGTATTTGTAAATGAAAATTTTGTAGTTTAACTTCGTATCACTCTATTGAAGATTGTAACAATTCGTTAGAAATTTTGTTTGATTTGCATTTCATTTCTGGTAAATATTGAAGGTTTTTTACCACTGTTTGACCGTATCAAAGAGTGTCTTGCAAAACGTCTAGCTAAGGCACCCAACTGATGCCGTCGCAGTTCGAAACTAAATAAGACATTTTCCATATGTTGTGTTTTCTTGATTGCTTGGTTTATAAGTTATCTTGTGGTGCTCTGCCCCAGGGCCGCCGAAAGTGCAAGGGAACAATAAATTGGACTGTGTAATTGTACACAACCTAAAATTAACGAAACATGATTGTACACAACCTAAAATTGTCCAGATAGGTGAAGGGCGAAGGCTAGCCTGGCCAAAGGGGATCGTGGCACTTTTCCCGGCAAATTTTGATACTTGCCCCTAGAAATGTTTAAATAACTCTTTGAAAACTAGATTTTCGTTAGACGATTGCAGAATTGCACTTATTTTAGCAAAAATGTTCTTACAATCGGTGTGGGCCTTGCCCCAACACAACGCTACTCGGACTTTTTGAAATGAATTTAATTTGAAGTCCTTGATATATTTGTGCCCATCTAAGGGTTTTGTAGTGATAAAAAAGCACCCATAAATTTCCATAACTTTCCGTAAATAAATTCTCCAGATATCGTTTACAACCATCTGTAAGTGGGCATTATTACAAGTCTACTCAACATTAAATGCAACCCCTGCCACCAAGGGATATTTTGCGGGTTTAAAGAGAGTTAAAAAATCAGCATTATTGCATTCAGAGCAAAGTACACTAGAAAGGAAGGTCAGTATTAAAAGAAAATTTAAGTCTGATGACAGAGTCGGTGTCAGTTCGAAGAGGTATCCTACATGTAAATCATGCAGGAGTGTGCAGAACATTTTAATAATACGTCCCACCTACTTTCGTGTATCCACCGACCTTTGCATCGAGTACTTACCATTTCTTGAGGTGCCATTTTGTTTCCGTGTTTTTATCTGGGAGATCTTGTTGTGTTGGTTGCTTTCGGGATCTCCTTTTATGGTTGAACGGGACAGTAAAACCTTTGACATTTTGATATTGTGCTGACAGTTTTAACAGGGGCCTACAGCACAAAGGTCTATTTCTGTTGCCAGGCATCAAAGGAGGCCTGTTTGTTTAATTAGGCCCACATTTAGGCAGATTACAAGGTAAGAATTTGGTTATTGTGGAGCAGACTTTTCACCTTTGCTTGCATTTTCTCACTAAATGCAACCCTCGTGCTTGTTACATCTTGTATTAAATTGTATCTATAAAAGTTTCTTCATTTGTTTATACCAGAAGCCGTTCGTTTTTCCATTTTCATATTATTAAAGTCTATATGAATAACAAGAGCTGTGCATAGTAAAATTTGTACATCGGCAAACCATATTTGAATTGCAATTTGCTTATTTAGTTTTTTATTAACCATAACAATGGCAACTACTCAATTCCAGAGGTTTAACATAGGATTCCATTTTAACTTTTTGGAATCCAAGTAGTTTAGCTGATGTTTCAACTAGGTTTTAAGAGAATGTCTTCAAGCGTGCTCACATTCTGTTTGTTTAGCTACTTTGGTGGTAACAGAAAAACATTCATGGCTGGACAATCTTGGTCAACTGAAAATATTCCGAAAAAGATGAAAGGGTATTTGGAAATAGAGGATGATGAGCTGAAATTCTTCACAAAGAGGTTTTTTGTTTTGAGAAGAAAGAAAGAAATACTGGAATATTATAGAGAGGATCCTTTTGTGAGTATTTTCTAGAGAATTTATTTTATAAAATGTTTGCTACATTTGATCTGCTTGATATTCCAAATATTATTACTCTCTAAACTTGCCACATTCTGTGTGGTTCACAAGAATCATATATTACATAAATTATTTAAAAAAATGGAAACTGGAGATGAACTTCATGGTTTAATGTTTAGTTGTTGGCTCCAAAATGCTCATTGCATGCTTTGGTGTGAAAAATGGGACTGCTCTAAGTTGCAACTTTTTAGGTTGGTGCTTAATTTAACCATGAGATGAGGCAACTGTTTATCACATTGTTTGTGTAAAGTCCAAGATTCAGAACATTCTTAGCAAAGTACTAATTTCCTTCACAGGCTGAGCCATCTGCACAAAAGGATGGTTCTATAAATATTAAAGACATAACACAGGTGCTTTTTTTTCTTATGCAACTTAAATTTTTCTCTGCTGCTGTTTCTTTTGTACTCTAATTTATTTATTCATTTTAGATGTTATAGCCCACCTTAATATCAAAACAGAGAAATATGTATAAATGTTATTTATGTGACACAACAAAGGTGTAGCCTGCATCTTTTGATTGAGGAGCACAGCTTTTCTCTTAATACTATGAAATCTTCCAGGTTTGACAAAGCTGCTGCAAAGAACAATATTTAATGTAAATTATCAAGGATATAGGCCTCCATAGCTATCCTGAATGCTCCAGCGCAATCTTACAATCATTTGTGACTTAGATTGTTTTTTAATATTTGAATAAATGCTAAAAAGATGCATCTTCTTCTGTATCATTTAGCATGGTCATTATCTATAAACTGACTTGGTAAATTCCAAAATATTTTGTACTTCAGGTTGCAGTTTCAACACAAAGACCAAAGATACCTAATTGTTTTGGTTTGGAATTTTTTTTTTCTGTTCAGCTCACTGCATTCAGCCTTCCCTGTTTCATAATTGTGTCAATAGACTATCTTTAATGGGTGTAGTGTAGAAGTGAAGCGAAATACTTCTTTTATACATTTTTCCCTGGAAAATTACTGTTTACATCATATACAGCTCAGTGCCATAATATAGAAGAGCTGCTTTTGCTTTATGGAGTGTAGTGCAGGATAATTCTAAGTCACAACTCTGAGTTCCTCACAGCTCAGGCTAAGCATGAAACTCAAAACCATCCTGTACCACATACCAAATTATCTTTTGTCTAGATTACTGGAAAATCAGATGATTGATAAGCGTAAGATGGAGAACTGCACCAAGGGCATTGTGTGTCCAGTGCAGTGCAGTGCAGACTAACCTTGTAAATCATCTGAGCCCATTTGAATGCTTCAGAAATCCCATTTCGTTTTGCCATGAAATAATCTCTAGAACCTATTTCATTTACCACAAATATTTTTTTTATAAGAAACAAAGGTCAAAGCTATTGGGTTTCTCAACTTGAAAAATTCATTCTTTGACCTGTGTTTTTCTAAGTTCATGGCAACTAAGCAATGAACTGGAAGTTAAAAAAACTTAAAGATTTATTTTCTGAGCTTGTTATTCAGATTGAACTTCCATTTTTAGTTTATTAAAGGTTTCAATTTTAATTTCAGAAATCAGTGTTCCTGCCAAAAAATATTACTTGTCTTCACATTCAAGGGAAAATATGTTGGACTGGGTGAATTCTTTACACGAAGCTGCTGTATGTATATGCCTTGTGTTTTTCTTATTTCCCATCAAAGCGTTCTGAAATCAAATTCTGAAATCAAATTTGTTGCTATTGCAAAATTTTGAAATAGGTGGCAGTACAAGAAACATATTTTCAAATTTAAAAACCTGTTTTAGTTATCTGTTATTTGCTTCAAACATTTTCCATGTAATTTATGCAAATAATGTAATGCAAATTTTTTTAATGTGCATATTTTTAGACATCTAGATATAGCACTTTATTTAAAAAGTCGCATTGAATCGATATTTCTGGCAAGGACCATTTTTCCTTGGTAACAGAGGAAACCATTTTCTGTCAGTTTTCAAGTTATTTGCTTAAACCTTTAGAATGAAGTCAACATTCAGCTTGGCTCCTATTATGAGGCATTTCTTGTCTTTTTTCAGTTTGTGTTGCTAATTTTCTTAATGGAAAAAGTTAAAAAGGAATTCATGGCCCAATGTAACTGTGTACTATAATATTCATTTTTATTTTTTAGCATGGTGTGAGAATCATAATTTGATTGTTATTTTCCAATGGCTAAATTTTTGCTCATGAGCTTTGCTCTGAATGGATAACAGGATACAAAAATGTTTCCCCTTCTTTAGGTCAATCCTAGAGAAAGAGTCAGGAGTGAAGGTGATAAAGATAAAAAAGAAGTTGCCCTAGATGGTAGCATTGGCTATCATACTTCTATTATTGGTGGTGTGGTTGTGAAAACGCCAAAGGTAACTCCATTATTCCTTGGTCTTGTATCTGCACCATAAAAAACTATTTATATTCTCTTTTAAGATATACTGTAAATCCTGGAATAAGCCCCCTGGGGGCTTATTTATTTTTGATATTTTTGGATGGGGGTTTTTTGACAGGAGCTTATAGAAGGGGGGGGCTTATAAGATTAGTAGTCATTAAAAAGATATTATTAAAAGACCTCTTATATTTTAGTAGGAGTTTCTTTATGAACATTTGATTGATTATTACCAAAAGTATGAATTTTTGGCAAAAATAAACAAATAGAGAGGAGGCCAATTCAAAGATTTATGGTAGCAGTGGGAGCTTATTCAAAGGGGGGCTTAATGGCAATCTGTAGTTCTAGAGTGGGGGCTTAATTGGGGGGGGGGCAATTTGAGGATTTGCGGTATAGAGTAACTTTTGTATCAAATGGATGAAAATTTAGATTTCCCTGCATTTCTTCTCTTTAGGTACTAGCTGTTATCATACAAAGTTTTTAATGGCCACTTAGATAGCCACATGCTACTAGATATGCACATTACAGAACTCCTCCTACCTTTGTGTCTTTTATTTCATTAAAAGTTAAGAGTCTTTTAGCTGGGCAAGCTGTGGTCACATTGAGGGCAGGAGGAATCAGGTTAGTTATCAGCAACTATGATTTCAAAGGATCCTGAAACATGTTCCTTTGATTGAGATACAAACAAGCACAAAAGTTCAATTTTTCTTTCCAGGAGGCCGAAAAGTCTCTACAAAAGCAAGGGGGGATAAAACCACTAATGGAAGGCTGGTGTTTCAAGCAAGGTGCTGTTGTGAGTATGGGAGGAAATATTTTCATAGTTGCACAATCAAGTGTTTGTCTTTAAATGCAGATGCAAAACATAAAAAATGTAGGTGGTGTCAAACAATGCTGAATACTCTGAAGTTCTAATGAGATTTTGTTGAGAAAGTGATAAAGTATTATCATAAATCATAGAATTGTCCTCCCCTTTGTATAAGCCCCCCCTTGAATACCCCTCGAATAACCCCTCTCTGTGGTATTAAAAATTGCTAATAAACCCCACCCATGAATTATGCTCAGTGCCAATTTTTGCATTTGATCGCTATGCATGGGTGCTTTGTCGAGACACAAAGAATGATACCTTTTCAAAGTCCATGACTGATTATTCATAGAAATCAGTGGCGAATGGAAAAAAATTAAAATGCTGTATTTCCCTAATGAACAACGTCCTCTGATTAACGCCTCCCTCTGATAAACGCCGTCCTCTATTGAACGCCGCACATTCAGCCAACCATTTGTAAAAACGCCGCCCTATGATAAACGGTGCCCTCTTTTAGACGCCGCATTTTGAAATGTGGCGTTCATGAAAAACCACACCAAACAAGAAGTAACAAAAAGTTTATACGCTTTCTATTCGAAGGCTATGAAAGTTGTTATGTCATAGAGACGCGGAATCTGACGGAGACAGGGATATCGACATTCCTTGACATTTCCCATACGTCAATGCATCCAAAAGTTAGATTTTCTAATAAACACTGCGGCGCCTCGTACAAGTTCCCCTTCTCGAGTAAGCCCCCATCTTAAAACTGACTAAATTTACAAGTTCCAGGTGGCTAATTCAAGAGTTTCGGTAAAATTTCCTCTGTCAAATGAATTTCCCCGTTCTTTTACTGACAGAGCATGCGTACTCCCCATAATCATTACTGCGCATGCTCGTTTGCAGTGTGTGGGGAAGATTGCTCGCTCCTCAGTAGACGTTCGTTTTTTACGTCTCCGCAACTTTCTTGGCTATAGCATAGGTTTGCTGTCGTTTTTTACTTATCATCAAGGTTCACTTACAAAGGCTTACTATGGCTCATTTTACCCTCTGGATACTTGTTCCCCACTTGTTCCCCGCTTGTTCCCCGCTTGTTCCCCGCTTGTTCCCTGCTTGTGCCAATACCCTTGCAGTTACAAAGCCACAAATGCCACTAGTATCCTGGGGTAATTTTCTTTGTTCATTTCAGTAAAAATTCTTTTTTTTTTAATTTTTCTATTTGACTAACCCTACTGCCTCTTTCATTTTAAGATGAAGTCTTGGAAACGAAGATATTTCACACTAAGCGTAGTAAAGCTTTGTTACTTCGAAAATAAAGAGGTTTGTAAATCCGCTTGCTTTATAAACTCGAATCGTGTTCTTTTTCATTAGCTATGTTAGTTTAGGCTGAATTTTGACGCTGATCCTTTTTGACAAACTGTAAACATCGAATAGGGTATACAATTCTGTGAAGTATTTGTCCAGTCAGTGTACATAGTTTGGAAGTTCTAGTGTGCGTCAACTTCACATCTACTGAAGTCAAATATACACTTTTGTGCTGTATTCTGACAATAATGAACCTCTTTGCTACCATTATTCAAACCCTCAAATAATCAACAATTTTAATAACGTTTCCTTTTCCTTGCGCCATTGGCCTTGTTACAAAAAGTCCAAAATTATATTCGCTCTGATGGCGCCCCGTACATATAAACAAAATATTAGTTTATTTTATCAATTTTACCTAGATTATATATCTTATTGATATTTTCGTACTATTGTCACTAACATCTTCGGAGGACCTGGCATACGATCTATTTGACACTTTTCCCCTCTGGATTAAAATACACTTTGCTGTGCCCTTTTCTTTTCAAACAAATATTAATTCTTTATCGTAAACAAATGTATATTGTCGTTCTAGGATAAAGAACCAATTCGATCGATTCTGTCACAAGATATTCTAGGCGTGCGTGAATCCCCAAGGTTTGCTCTTGCTTTCGTTTTTTGAGTTCCTAACTTCTTATGTTTTGCATTGAAATGGTGTAATGTGAATTATTTCAATAGCTTTTATGTTATAATGTTTGCAATATATCTGATTGAATAACATTAAAAGATGATCAAAGAAAGTTTTTCTGTTAGTTTGGCAACAGTATCTGATGAGGGGTTACTGATTTTTAAGCCCCCTTTGCATTGTGATTCCTTTCGAGCCGTCTCGTTGCTTCTTCCCTGTTGCTTCTTCCTTGTTGCTTCTGATATCACCACCTTTTTCTGTCCCGTTATAGACTCTTATCGAGGACTTTCTGGCATCACACCTATCGATAGAAACCAGTTTCCCCTCTATAAAAAACTGTATCCTTCCAAAATGTGATTTCCATATACAGCTCAATATCAACTACAGCTAGTTCGGCTCTTTGCAAATTCATGCACATTTTCTCTTATTTGGTGTTCAGTTCTGTTTGATACTACAAATATCAATTGAATAAGGTATTTAGATAAGAATAAACCTGGGATTTGATTGAAAATTTTCAATTGTTTTTTTTGTCCAGAATGGCTTTTTCGATCATAAGGAAGCTAGAATTTTCTTCAATAAGCTTACGATTATCAGTTTCAATTCAACAGAGTTTGAAAAGTCATCTAAGTAGAAACGACTCTAGGGGTTTTTGGCACTAGAACCCCGTCTCTACTATTTCATACCCGTATAAACCCGGGGGCAATAAGAGAAGTGGAATACGAGTTGGTTTCTTCTGTATAAAGAGCTTCATAAAAGATCCTTTTTGTTCGCGTCTCTTCTTGTTTGCGAAAGATTTCTTAAATCTTCTTTTTGAAATTTTAGGTATGCAGGAAGAGAGAATGTTCTAGAAATGGAAACACCAAATAGAAAATTTTATATTCAGGTTTGCCTGCTGTTTTTTAATGATTACTATGATATGTAAATTTTTCGTATCTTGTCTGGTGCTATACTCTAACTTTCGTGCCCATGTTCATGCTTTTACGGCACTGCTTGCAAACCCAATATTTCTATGGCCAAAGTAAATCTCCACGTTACCACAGTCTTTAAGAATTTAAGTTTCAATTTAAAAACTTACCGTCTCCAAACAGCTCAGAAATGTTTGATTTTTTTATTAGTGATTCTGCAGTTTTAAGAAAGGTCTCGAGGACTCTTGCATAATATCCAGGCTGCTATTATTATGATACAATCGCGTAGCTACCGGATCAAACTGTATTGAATCAGTGCCTGAATATTATCAAGACTTTTTGGCTACAGGCCTATGCTTTTTTGCAGAGTGACAATAAAGAGGGTATGGAGGCATGGAAGAAGGCTATTCACTCAGTACTAAATCCATCAGGTTCCATTGGCCGACGATGACCATATCCCCATATATGGAATGGGGTCAAAACTGAGTTTTTGAATATCCAAATTCTTTACTGCGTGCATCTGGTAAATCGCAAAGAATTTCACTGTTAACCTACAAACGAAGATATTCTTCAAGCGCGAAAAAAGGAAATTCAATAAGTATCCTAGTTAAACAACAATGTTTGAATTTCCCAGTGTCTTCAAAGCTATGTTTTATATTTCCAAGCTTCTAACGGAATTGAACTTTTCTTTGTTCCACGAAAATGTATTTGATTGCCGGACCATAAAATCTGCGCTGCGCCCTCTCTTGTAGAGCAGAGATTTACGCACCTATAGACTGTCGCTTTATTAGCCCTTTCTATTGGCGTTGGAAACCTTGTGTCGTTTTATGGGGCCTCGTTTTTGTTAGCTTTAACTGCCTCGCTCTCCATGCAGAAGAACCTAATTTTACCTAATTTGAGATTGGTTTCCTGTGAGCTGTAACTAAATCAATCGAAAATGGTAGCTGAGATAGAGAAATTCACAATGAATTCTTAACTATTTTTTATTTTCCCCATCATTAAGGGTACTGGGAAACTCCTAAGTCGCTAATGACTCCTTTTGTTATTGTTCTGAATTGTCAATTCTGTGCCATGATATTCACATTAGTGTCGCCTTTTACCTTGGATTTTTATATATGGGGTGAAATAAAAATCTTGTTTTGTTCGGTAACCAAAGGACTTCACAAAGGTGAAAGCGATGAAATCTGATAAAATCCGCAATCTGCACCAGTCTTAAGTTCAGTCCCCTTTTGCCTTGATGTTTGCCAAATTTTCATGCAGCTGCTCCTGTTTTTGCGCATTCTTATGTTAAGCGAATAACTTGCTCTTGAAGCAACAATGCCTGTCTGTTTTACTTTGTCTGCATTCTGTAATGCATTATGTAGTTGTAGTAAACTTAACAAGCCGTAGTATAGAAGGACGGTATATTTGTAACTGTAGATCATTTATTTTTTTAGATTTTTATAGTGGATTTCCATTTTACAATGTCTATTTACAGCTATGAAAGTTGCTTTTTTGATTAACCTTCTATCTTCTGTTAATCTTTTGCATTCGTTCCTTTTTATCCTCACACTACTTTTTTTCTTTTTATTAGACATTAATTTCTCAAATCATACCATATAATTTCAAGCAGCAAGTCTGAGGTACACTAATCAAGCTTATAATATGCTTAGTATGTACAATTTCCTAAAATCTTTTTATTATGAGGAAAGACAGTAGGAAAGGAAAGATTAGATCTATATTTTTCGATTCTCACCAAGCTTAGGCCCCGTGTCGCTTAAAAATGATTTAAGAAGAACATTAGGCACAGAATCACAAGTTTTTAGTTATTCAGAATTGCGTTATTCTTAAAAAAAGTGTGTATTTCACCATACCAAAACCAAAACAAATGCACGCAATATTGGTTTACCTGGCAGGGCCTCCAGCCACAGGGCATTGTAAAACAAATGGGTATTTATATTTCCTAGCGTGGAGTTTTCGATCTATGTTCAGGACATTTTACACTCAGACGAATGCTTTAGTAACCGTTAGATCTTGGTCATTTTAAAACCATTGCCTGCTGTTTGTAAAAAACATTTTAAAGAACCCTAAATAGAATATTTTTCCTTTTTGTAGAGTTTTGGCAAGTTTGCTCTTGACTTAAGTCAAACAATAGATCCTTGATATGTAATCTTACTTCCCGTGCCATAGTCAGATTTAGCATGGGCACGTTTTTTCCACGATATAACACGGGACCGAAAGCGGAATTGCTTTTTCTCAGAACTAAGTTTGCATAAAATTAAAGTGCTATACTCGAACTTAAAACTAAGGTTTCCCAAACTATACTCGAATTAAAACTAAGGTTTCCAAAGCTTTAGGAAATTGTCCGGAGGAAGACCTAACTAGCCACCCTGACTGGAATTGAGGGGGGCATTCAGGCACCGCGCAGCCATTGGGCTAGCAGGGGCTAAAGCCAACCCACTTTTTTGCAATAACAGGTTAGAAAAGTTTTAGAAGTTTACTCTAGCGCAACTTTGGAAAAGTTTACTTTAACGGATCCTAGGAAGTAGCAGTTCTTCTTGACTGGGAACCCTTTTTTGTTCATTTTCTTGGCGTCTTATCTTGTTAATCTATTTCATAGTAATTATTATCTTCTCTAAATAAATGGAAAGGGGCGTATTCCAGCGTTTGAAAGGGTGTGGCCTCATAAAATTTTCGGTCATACCCTTCTCAGCCCATCGACTTTTAGACTGGTGCGCGGTGACGGGGGCATCCACCGTAAAAGTAGGTCAGAGAGTGTTTATTCTTTCTTGACAGAATATTCTAACAATGGAGAAATGAGGTGAAAAATTCTTTTTCGGAATACAGACAAAAAAAAATAAAGGAATATTATTGTACTTATTGAATATTCTTTCGTCTAACTGTAACTGTTCACAACGGGTCTCTTTTTTGTAGATAAAGATGTCCGATCCGTGAGAAAAATTTCAGATGTTTTTGCGATAACCAATTTAAGCTTCAATTGATATGCAATGAAAAATTGTTTTTACAAAGAAAAAGTTACGAGCTACTATGTTTCTGTGATAGTATACTTTTGTAGGACATTGTTAAGTCTTAAGACCCAGACCAGTCCAAAGACCCTGGTTAAGACCAGGCCAAATATCCTGGTTAAGGCCAGGCCAAATATCCTGGTTAAGACCTGGCCAAATATCCTGGTTAAGACCTGGCCAAACAGTCAACATTTGGTGCATTGTTTGTTGCAAGCACAAGCGAGAAAATTTATTTTATTTTAGAAGGGGGTATGCTCTGATTCCCTACGCAGTCGGTACCTTTATTGTTTGCATCGGTTTTCATCTTGCTTGCATGTAGGTGGTATGTACTAAACCATTATTATTCCAGTATCTTTGCTTAAACTCCATCTTTCCGGGACAGGCGAAATTTCAACGAAAATTCCCATTCTACAAAAAGCCCGATACACACACTATCAATACAAATGCACAAGGTTACGTCAATTGAAGTGCTCTGTAAATATGGTAAATATGGGTGTGTCTAGGTATCCTTGAGTTGAGTGCTATGTTATGAATGCAAAATCTTATAAAGAAATCCAAGTAAACAACTGTGAACAGCATGGGGAAATGAAATGAATGAAATCAAAAAAGACCCACAACAAAATTAACGGGGCTGGCCTTATTAAAGGAGGACGGTTGTTGTACACAGGAACACAAACATACACACACCGGTCTACTTAAACTTTAAACTTTGCCTTCCACGTCACCTCACAAGTGTTATGCAGTCAAACAAGGTGGCGAAAAAGCTGCACCCAATTTTTTTTTTACAATGTTTGCTGATATGTGTGGTGAGTTTGACCAGGGCGTTGCTCGATGACCCCTCTAATTTGGCTTGTAACAGTGCCATTTAGAGATTCTTTCTCTTCCAAGGCTCATAAATGTCCACAAAACCTAACTGAAAGCAAATTGCCTACTAGAATTATGCTAGGTAATACTAAATACGCTGTAACATCATAAAATCCTAAATTTTGAATGAAGCACTTGCGCAGTAACATTTAACCTTTGTCTTGCTACTGTCCTGGTGACCTACAGAAGGGTTTGGTTAGCATGCCCGGAATTGAAACATCTGTTTAGAACATTTTGTGCTAATTCTCTTAAGGCCGTCTGGCTGTTTGTTACCTCGGGTCTTACAATACAGTGTCGTAGATGACATGCAATGCTATGTTTTTTCCGATCACGCTGTACGTTGTTCAACTACTTAACAGCGGATAAAGAAGTCTAGCATTAATTGCTGCGTAAAATTGCTGCGTAAAATTGACCAATATCTAATACGGATTAGAAACAGGATGACATCACACAAACAAACAAAGTTGCATGGATGTCCGCTCAATGCATTGCGGAGACAAGCAGATGGGAAAATTGGGGCACCCCCCGCAAACAGAGCCTCTGCTGTGATTGATAAGTTCGTGGAAATAATATAAAGTGATGTCAAAGAGAACTGCCTTGTAAGAGAAATGCACCTGGAATGAAGATGTTCCATCAAAGTGCTGGTGAGTTGAGATTTTTGTTTAGGTAAAGTAAAGCCTCATAAAAGAAACTGAAGAATATCCTAGCTGATTATTTGCCAATCAAGCACCTGCTATATATATGAAGGTCTAAAAGGAGCTATTTCAGCCCTTCTTTGCGGATTTTTCCTGTGCTATTTTGTGTAATAACTTGCAAATTCAATTTCCAGTATAAACCCATTGGAGATACATAATCTCAACTACAAAATTGTTAAGCCCAATAAAACTGTTCAAATACTCTACTTTTGGTTGCCACTCTTAAATCAAATTCCCCCCTGAATCAATGTTGGGTTAGTAGTTCTATCATTGTGCTACAGAAACATGCATTCAACATTGAATCTGGGGAGGGAAATGTATTTTTGAAAGAGAAGGGAAAACGTCAAACTTTCTTGAAAAGTCTTAACTACTATGTCCAGAATGTGGTATCCTTTTTAGGTGCGTGCCAGCAAGCTCAGATATTAAGCACTGTTTATTGATTCAAGAAATTAATACAAACAGCGACAGGTGTGTACCTTTAACAGGAGTATCTCAAGATTCATTTTTCGATCAAGCAGATCTGGAGCACAGACTATCAGAGCCGTTGAGAGGTTTCCGAGGTCCTGTGGCAAAACCGAAAGACGAGGTCCTTGCGAGCGTACCCAGGGTCTTGCGAGCGGAGCAAGCAGAAAATTTCCGCGACCATGCCCTTCAGATTAGCATAAAATGCATTTCAAAATATTTCTCGCAGTCATTTCTTACAATTATTTAAAATGCTTTACTATTCTCAGCTACGTTTGATTAATTCAATTCTTAAAAATGAAGCCATTATTTGATGAAGACCTTAGACCTCAAGGCCCAGGGGCGATTTGCCCCTCTTGCCCCCTCTCGGTGACCCTGTAGGCTATCAAGCTCTATTCTTAAGTGTGTGAGATTTTTATCAGACCAATAGAACTTCGAAGGATTTTTCGAAAACAAATTGATTTTTGCCAAAATTGTTCGATATTTTCGTGGAGTGATATTTTCGTATAAGTCTTTGTTTGGGAGCAAGATTTTCAAATATTCTTATTAAATTCACAATAAATGTTGTTAGCTGGTACCGATGATTTTTCTCCACCTCTGAGGGTATGAAAAGTTTGTTTTTTCAGATAGATGTTTTTTATCAAAAAAATCTTGACGGTACATAACTCCTAGATTTCATACTTTTGGTCTTAAAGCCATGAATATGGTATACTGAGATTCTTTGAGTGGTACATTTTTGATTAATTCCCTTAGTTTAAACTTTCTATTTTCGAGTTAAATTTTCTCTGTCCTTTCAACACCCCCCCCCCCCCCACTTCTTCATAATGTAAGAATCTTCAGTGTGTGGTCTAAATTATGACCTAAGCCTAAATTATAATCAGAGCAATTAAATCGTTTTTCAAAGGAATGGATTTTTTGTCGGTTTCAAAAATCTTAGAGCACAAACATGTTACTGGAAATAGTTCAAAGGTCAACCCCTTTCACAGATTGCGACATCACTGCTGACACAATTGTCGACTTGCTACGTAGATTCTGTTGCAGCAATTTCTTTAGTTGAAGCAACTTTATTAATGTGCTTTCGTTATTTCGACGTAGTACGGACAATAATAAATGTTATTTAACTTTTCTTCATTGAAATCACATTCTTGTTTTGACACAGTGGGCTTTCATGTGGCTCGTGATGATGGCCTTTGTTGAAATCTTTGTGTACAATTTTCCATGCGTCACATTCACACGGTGATACCTTGCTAAGGCCAAAGGACAGTTTTCCAGTCATGCTTGTTATTTGCTTGTGCAAGATTAGCCGCCTTATTATTTTGGCCCATGCAAATTTAGAAAGCAAATCAGACTGGAAATCGCCTGTACACCAAAGCGTAGGGATCAACTAATGTGGTCCTTGAAAAGCAAAGAGTGGGCTAGGCCAACCCTGAAAAGCCAGCTTCAAAAATGCTTACGACGA